TCAAAGGACTTATCATATTTCGACCTAATCCACGAGGACTTTGGCAACTTGTAGTTTTCAATAGATGTGCAAACAATATTAACAAAAACAAATATTTATAATCCTTACAAACGTTAAAGGAGCTTATCTCGAATTAAATTATTTGATACAACACATTCGTACCGAGAGTCAGGATTAAAGTAGTATTAAAAAAGTTTATCATCATGCTGAATGATCCCACATGAAAGTCTTGCCGTAGGTGGTATATTTACATTTGGGTGAACCTATATAAAATACAATTTAATTAACATTTTATATGTGGTTCATTCTCAAAATAAAAGACAAGTATTTTAGTCAACACTGCGTATGAGCCATATAATTTACAAAAACCTTCTCCTAAGCATTAGACATTTTTTCGGCTTTAATATATTAATATATTATATATATTTTGGGCTTTAATGTAGGTTATCAAGGTTCACTCTAAGTTTGAGTACATACTTTACCATATTTAGGGTAGGCTGAGTGGAAAAGTTCTCGCGTCTCGGCAAATCCTCTGCGGCTGGCTTTTCATCTCGATACGGTGACAGACAATTATAATTGTATTTAATTCTTTTGATTGATGCTTTGTGGGCTTTTCACGAAGACGCATATTCCACCCAACCGTAGAGCACAGATACTGACAAACAAGCACGAAATTCGACGTCAGCAAGGTGTGCGGTTGGCATCCCCTGTCACGGGCAAAAATAAATATTATTTATGGGTTTCATTGATAAATATAATTTATTTCTCTAATTTATACCATGGGAATTTCCTATATGCTAACAATCCTGCGTTTTTAGCATCCTCAATCCCCCCACAAGGCGTATGAAGGTGACAAAGGTTGAATTATTGAATTAAATATGTGGCCCATAAATAAATGTTATTATATGCCTATACTTTAATCTGCTAATCCAAATGGACTGATTTGAACATACATTTTAATTATTCATTTAACAAGAATAAAGTATGGCTTTTAAAAGGTTAAATGTCTAATTAAAATCTGCTGACGTGTAAATAAATTTCTTATTTGGGTCTGATTTTTATTTTTGTTAGCCAATGCTTTTAAATAAATATCAAAATATAAAATCAAATAGCAGCGTCACTTTAAACTCCAACTTGCGAAATATACGACTCACCGGCGGTTATTTTTATAGTGCATTAAACACTCTAGAAATGAGTTATGATTCCTGAGTTGGTACGTGAGTGAAAAGTCCGGGCACAATTCAATTTAATTTTGTTATCCCCCGGAGCGTGCATTCAAAGCATTCGTCACAAGTAAAAGCCGTTTCATTTGTGAGTCCACCCCTTTCTGAAATCCAAAGTCATATATTTTTATTGGCCAAGAAAGAGGATTGAAACCTGCACCCAGAAAAATGATGGACAACATTTTAGGTCATGCATAGCCTAAAACATTTTAAATGGACTAAAAGTTCCTTTTTAGGTCATGTACTGCCTAAAAATTTAAATTTTTGGTATATTTGCCCTACTATTTAGGTCCCATATAGCCTAATATTTTAGGTCATCGTGGGCCTTAAAATTAATGCATTTTACCTAAATAAATTTGCACGGAACTCTGATACCGTTCTAGCGACTCTATAATTCCCAACCAGTTATAGCGCGGCTTGCATGGTAACCCACTTCGATCGTTGAATAAAACAGCGATTTCACTGCTGAACAGTGAAGCCTCTTCGCTCGTTTTTGTGTGTTGGAATAATGACGGCTTCTTGAAGACTAAGCCGACATTGACCTCGAGTTAGCTATAAATTTCTCTGTACTTACTTTATAATATGAAACATTTTTCAGTACAAATTTTTAGGCCAAAGAAAGCCTTTTTAAGGTAGCATATTACCTAAAATCTAGGCCAAAAATTACCCCATTTTAGGCCATTAATGGCCTAACATTTTAGGTCATACAATCCTAAATTTTAGGCCATTCAAGGACTTAGCTCCAGTTTTAGGCCAATTTTACCTAAATTCTAGGCCATTTTTTGACATTTTAGGTCATTTTTTTTTCTGGGTGTGGTTAGCCAACGGTGCGAATGGGTTATTTATGGGCTGTGTGTGCATACTGATGTTCTTGAATACATTAATCCAATCAGGTGCAATGGCTCATAACGGTGCAGATAAAAAGGTCTCAATAATCATTTGTTTTTTAAAATACATGACTAATAATTCTTAAAAAATATATAAAGGATTTTTACATTTATTAAAAGTCAACCATTATTCACAGTTGAGGGATTTGTCTTTGATTCATATTCGATTCATTTAATATTGTTTTTATCTTTTTATTTTCATAATAACGTTAAGAATTATCTAAACTGTATAGTCCTACTGGGATGTTTTTAAATATTCCTATAAATCATGAAAATAAAATGAACTGAGCATCCTTGGGCCAATGGTTGAGCTCGGTAGTTAACAAGAAACAAAAACAGGCTCAAAGCCCCAGACGAAACAAAAACAAGTATTCATGCGTTGAACGGAAACACCTTTACAGAAGGTGTGGGGAAGTGTGAGGGCTGGGACCTCACGCCTTGCAACATACATATAATCTATATATGTGTATTGGATATGGCCCCTTGCAAACTTTCACTCTTTCGGGGGGCTGTTCGGGATTCTCCGGAGTGCGATTACCGCTAGCTGGTCTGTGCTAACAGTTGCTTTGGGCCCTCGGTGCTTCTGAAGTTTGCGCCACAGCCACTTGCCATTCAATGGAAAATGTTGAATTCGTTAACTAAAACCGGCACGCACTCGATAATCCCCCAATCGCTACACAGTGGGCACTTTGTATCCAGAGGCTTCACCTGCCTGATTCGGCATTTAAATTTCTGTATTTTTAGCTCTGCAATAATAATTAGGTTTTTCCAAGACTTTATTTAGTTCCAAAATTATAAATTTAAATTGAGGCACTCATTTAAAACAAATAACGACAAAAAGTCAGAAATAACCCTGTTATTTCCATAACTTCCAAATCCTAGTTATTCCCAAAAAAATCACTAATTTATACGCTACTCGCATAACACTATTTTATATTCTTGATACTCAAGTAGAAAAATCGCGTAATAAATCAAGTGCACTTATCAAGTGATCAATTTAAAATCGAGTATTAATAGCTACCCAGTTAATCTTTAATAAGCAGCCCAAAAATTCGCAATGAAAAATTCACTCGGAAATGAGTTCTTTTTCTCGAGAAAGTAATTAAGGCATCATCAGTCGTTTTCATCAGTTCGTTGTCCGCCGGCAAGGTGGAGAAGAAGTTTCGTTTTTGGGGGGCGGGGTAATTAAAATGGCAAAAATAAATACCTATTAAGAACGTTTACACTGATTGACACTTTAAGGCAATTTCCGGCCATAATTCCATGCCACAAAATGGTGCCCAAGAAGGTGTTTACCCCACGAAGGAGGCCTAACCAAATGTCGAGCTATCGATTTGTGGCGGGAACCGAGTCGGTGGATCGGCGAAGGGGGAGTGTATTTAGGCCAGGCCTGACACGCTTTACATTAATTTGAAAATTTTGGCTGTGTCCGCTTTAAGTTGAAGTGGCCTCCCCAGTAGGCACTTTAAGTCGAGGGAAAGGATGGGAGTAATGGGGGTGCTAAGTAGCCTAGATTTTGAAAATTACTTCCAGGTTAAATTTCCATTGGTTAACCAAAAGAGCAAAAATATTTCTTTCAACAGTTTTCTAACTTACTGCAACTGAAAGCCATGTTCAACATGGCGTATGCTTAATTTCTGACCGTGCAAAGCCAACTCTTTGCATTCAACACTTGATTTACAAAAGAGGTCAGCCAGGTTTTACCTAGAGTTGCAAACGAAATTAAATGTTCATTTAATCTGCAGGCAGTAGCTTGGTAGATAGACAGTCATGGGGCATCAATCCTGCCTTCTGGGTGACAGCTTTTTGCCACTGACTGTGCTGAGCTCACTGTTGTGGTTGACGAAGCTGCCACATGCGTGTGCCTTATGCTGTGTGTGTCTAGTCAGGACATTTGCCATGGCATCCTTTAATTTGTGCCCCGTCATGTTGCACGGTTGTGTGACGGAGACACAACCGACGTTTGCTGGTATGTGACTGAATCCTCTTGGGTAAATTGTTTAAACTTATATTATAATCCTCCCCACAAACTACAAATTTTCCCAGAATATATTTCCTTTCAAATTGAAAAGCTAAAATTAACTTTAAACAGAATGTCAGATTTATCATGGTTATAAATAAGAATTTAGAAACCATTTACCTCTCACTTTTACTAAGTTCCTTCATAGTTTACTTAACGAAATTACTTTGAAATACTATAATTTTTTAATAACGGTTTTGTTTGTTTTTAATAACAATTAGGCTTTATTTTTTAGTCTATTATTTTTTAAATCAAATAATATTATAACGGTTCTGCACATCGGTCACACTGCTTTTGAGAGCGGACCAAAGAGCGCGATCGGCGGCTGAGACTAGTTAAATTAATACAGTACTTTCCCGACAGAAAAACTGGGAACTAATGTTAACCGAGAGTATTTACTTTATCGACTTTGTTCAAAACCTGTTAGAAAAATTGAATAAATATGAAAAATAAAAGGAAGAGTAAGTTATTTAGCGAATTATTTTTGAAGTATTTAATTTATTTGTAATAATACAATTATTTAAATTAATAAAAAACAATTGTTTTCAGATAAAATTTAAACTTTGTAAATTAGCAATCTGGAAAATTTTACATGAGCTTCAAATCTGTTGATTCTGTTGATTTATTTAAGTTTCCAATTTATCACATAATAAATTGTCTAATCAATAGAGAGAGTACTGTATTAGATTCTCAATTGCCCGCAGCTCTCTCTATAAGCGATAAGAAAACTTAAAAACAAAATCAGCTGTAAAACCCGATCGACAATAAATACAAGTAGCAGGTGAAATCTACTTTTTGATTAGGTTGAACTAAAAAACTAGAGCAAAATAAGGGAACCTAGACCCACAACTCAAGCTAACAATCTACCTACACATATAATTTAATATTTAAATTATTAGTAGTTAATCTAATAAATGCTAGATTGCTAGGAAATAGGTCAGTAAATAACTTTGATTAGATTTAGTTAGAAAAGTGGAACTGTTATGGGCAATACTCTCAAGTTCAATAGCATAACCACCTTGTTTTATGTGTAGAAATTAAATTGTTTTGTACATGATAATATAATCAGAGTGATCAGTTAAGATGACCCAAGTGAAATCCGTACTTTGCGTGGGCTGCACGGTAATCGACTTTGTGACCATCAATGGCAGTTATCCCAAGGAGGACACCGATCGACGTTGCCTGGATGGCTTTTGGCAACGTGGCGGCAACGCCTCCAATGTGAGCACAGTTCTCCGGGTTCTCGGCTCCAAGGTGGACTTCTTTGGAATGCTCAGCAAATCGGAGGCATTTCGAGTGCTCCTCGAGGATCTGCGAAAACGGAATATCGGCACGAAGAATTGTCCCTTTACGGACAGGGATCCGCCCTTCTCTTCGGTGATCTTGGCCCAGGATTCCGGCACACGCACTATTATCCACTGCAACAAGGATTACCCGCAGAGCACCTATGAAGACTTTAGCAAAATTGATCTTTCGGAGTACGGATGGGTGCACTTTGAGGCCCGCAACACGCCACACACCTTAAAAATGATGCAGAGCATCCGGGAACACAACAAAAGGACTGGGCAGCGCATCATCATCTCATTGGACCTGGAAACGAGGTACGAACAGAACCAGGAGCTGTGCCAGCCCTGTGACTTTGTGGTCTTCTCCAAGGAGCTGGCCGGCCAGTTGGGCTGGCAGACGCCGCGGCAAACGTGTGAGGAGCTGGCGGCTAAGATTCCCGAAAACGACCCGAAACCCGTCTTCATTTGTCCCTGGGGAAGTGCCGGAGCTGGAGCCTTGGATGCCAATGGTAACTACCACGAAATGACTCCCTATAAGCAGGATAAAGTGGTGGACACGCTGGGAGCAGGAGACAGCTTCATGGCCGGGTTCATATTCGCCACTTTGGAGGGTCTAAAAAGTGTGGCGGAAGCTGTGGACTTTGCCAACCGAGTTGCCAGTCACAAAATCACTGGTTTCGGCTACGACCATATTGCACAACTCAGCTTGAACCGAAATTAATTGATTGCAGCCTTAATTCCATTTGAAATTATTGTTTTAAGTCTCTCCGGAAGAATTTATTGACATTATAGAAGCCTGACGAAGAAATGTTTGTTTTAAAACTGTTAAGTAATATTATTAATTTGGATCAGAAACTTTTTATAAATGACAGTAGGAAAATTGTTAAATAAACATTTTAAGAATTTTAAAAGAAGTTTTTAACCTCCACTTAATAGTTGAAACCAAATATCCCTTGCAAAAAAGTGCAGTCAGTTTGGAAATGAACAGCGCTTATGTATTCTCACAAATTTTATAAACTTGTCAAATTCATTATGAATATATTATAATTATTTTCATGATTATTGGTTGGGCAAAGACTTGTGTTGTTGGTCTGCTGGGACTTGTTATCAAATCGTACGCTTTGCAAGTTAATCAAGAGGAATCATGGCAGGATGAGTCTTTAGGTCCTCTGCTCTCTCATTGTTGTTCAGTTGGGAGCCTCTCGTTGTTGTCTAGGTGTATCTTATAAAGTCTCCTCGTTGGTCGTCCAAATCCGAGCCAATGGCCGAGGCGTTGATTCCAATGCCGCTCGAGGCGCTGCCGGATTTTTGCTGGCTGTTCAGTCCCTCGATGAGCTGTTTAGAGGGAATTTATTAATGGTATAATCTCTATTTATAAAAACACAAATTATTAGCTCACCTTCGATCGCAGACGTTTGAGTTTGCGTAATCGTTCTAGCCAATTCGATGCATACGGATGCTTTTTCTGCACACTTTGGTAGACTAGCGAGGCGAGCTGGTATATATGGGAATTATTAATAATCTTTTTGGGGATCATAGAAAGCCCTATCATATACTCACATTGGCGTGCAGGGCCATTTGTCGAGCCAGCAGAGGAGCACTGCGATCGGAGACTATCCTGTGCTCTGCATGGCACACGAACTTCGATATCTCCGATCGCGCTTTTACATAAACCCTGTTTGAGTTCAGCTCCAGTGGCTCTACGATCACGCAGGCGTAGTTGAATTGGCCCTGAAAATGTGTTAAAATATTTATATTAATTACATATTAATATAGGGAATAAATTAACATAAATTTATATTATGCTTTATAATTATCTTACGGATATAGTGTTCAGATTGTACTCCTCGCCGCTCTCGTTGTAGATGATCTTCACAAAGTCGTTGCCAATGTGGCTCTTCTTCTCGTTGCAGTTGGGATCATCCTGCAGATTGGTGGGCATCAGCGTGGCCACATGGAAGGTGACCTAACAATAAACATTCATTGGTTATATAAAATTCCCCATTTATCTATGTGAATTACACCCCACCTGCAGTATGTCATCCTTCCAGATATAGGCAAACTTGCCATCTGCCCCATTCCTGTCCAGCATTATAAACAGATTGTTCTGCTCGGCCTCCTTCAGGCTAACCAGCGTGCCAATGTTGCGCAGGAACTCCACATATCTGGCACTGCCGTGGGAATTGCGCAGGATCTCCACCTCATTGTTGCACTGCCCTTGGCCCACGTACAGCACGCCGATCTTGTGCGTCTCAAATGGAGGCACCAAATCGATCAAGGTAACGGCGCTGCTGTTCTCGGGTCCCACCTTCAACGGTTCATCCGTCACGCCCAGCTGCCCAGTGCTGTAGAGCTGCAGGAAAACGAAGCTCGGGTTCATGCACAGCTTGGCATTGATGGGCGGCTTGGCGGGCCCAAAGTTCCGGAAACTGCTGGCCGGCGGCGGACGTGCATTCCCGTTGTTCACCTCCCGCACCACGGAGATGGTTTTCGAGCGTCCTCGCATCATGTCGCCGTTGCCATTGTTCCCGTTGTCGTAGTCGGAGGAGATCGCTCCCACATTGGCGCCATTGCTGCCACTGCTACTCGACTTGGCCAGCGCCCCGGGCTGCGGCACAGAGGTGCCTCCGAAACTGGTCACCCTGCCAGTCGAAAGCAGAGGCGGTTGCCCCGGCGACAGCGGTGGTTTCCCCAGCTTCAGGGTGGATCCCACTGACTGACCAGCCACCTGACTGCTCACATCGTCCGCCGAGTGCTGCTTGGGCGGCAGGGTGCCACTTTCCGGCTGCAGAGCAAGAGCAGCCGCCTGCGAGGGCGGCGTGGAGCCGGCTATCTCCTCCGGGATGGCCTCGCAGCTGACGCGCATATCCTTGGTGCTGTACTGAACGCTCTTCTTCTTGAGCGTCAACTGGGATTGAGGCTCCTCGCCGGCGGCCTTCACGGGCTCCTGGGACAGCGGCGTCGGTTTGTTGGTCAGGAACGACTGCCGCCAGCTGGAGCTCATCTCCGGGCTGGAGTTTACCCGACGCACGGGATTGCGGGCGCGACTCTGGGCATCCTCGAAGGCCAGCGTGTCATCGTCTGCCTCGCCATCGCTCACGCTTCCGCAGAGAGCCGCCTCCTTGCCGCGCTTTCCGGCTGCCGAGACGCGAGGAATCGGTATGGCAGCAGCTGCTCCACTGCTCGCAGCGATTCCGTTGCCATTACCGTTTCCATTACCATTTCCATTTCCTCCGCTGACCGAGTGAATCTCCTCCTGGCGCTGCAAGGCACGAGCCTTGGCCACCATCCGACTGCGCAGCGCACTTGCCTGCGGAGCCGCCGCTGGATTAACCTCCGGTTCGGGTTCGGGATCAGCCAGCGGATGTGGCGGTACCTGTATGGTGTTGTCCGGCCCGAAGACTCCGCCATGGGCAGTGGGCAGAAAGAGCGACACCACATTGTTGAACGGCAGATCCTGGCCAAAGCAATCATTCGTGATGGGGTTCTGAATGCGCGTTATCCACGATATGTTGCCCGTGGGCCGACGAATCAGTACCTCCGCCCAGCCAGTGCAGGCGCGCACGCAAACCGGCTGCTGCGGTACCACGGATCCGGATGAAGGACTCATGCTCACCGAGGACTGGGACAAGGAGTTGCCCAGCAGCGAGGTGTTGCTCCCAAGGTGTGGTCCCTCGCCCAACCCACTACCCAATGCTTCGGGATTGGAGCCGCGACGCGAGAGCGCGTCCAGCGATGCGGTGGAACTGTTGGAGATCTGTCGATGCGGATGGCCACCCGCGGCAGCCGAGTTCGAGGAGGAGGAGGAGGTTAGCTCCGTGCTGCCCGCCGACTCGTTGCCGCTGCTGTGCTGCAGGCTCACCTTGGTGTAGCGCCTCTCGCGCTCGGGCGAAAGCGGAGGCGCCGCATCGCTGAGGCTCTTCGAGTTCAGGCTGATGCTGGGCGCCTTGCCCAGCTGGGCACATCGCTCGCAGAGGCCACTGCGCGTGGGCGCCGAAGGGCAGCCGGAGGTGGTAATGGTCACCAAGTTGTGGCCCACAAGCCAGGTCTGCGAGACGCCATCCTTGAGCAGAAACTCGGCGGCAGGAAGACTGGAAAAGAGAAGAGGTATTAAGTTTAAGGGGGATTATAAGATATACTTTAGAATCACCCACCGTTTGGGCATCGACGGACATGGCGAATAGGTGTGGCGGGCCAGGAAATCGAAACAGGTCTCTGCCAACTCGGCGTGGAAGTTGCGCAGTCCGTTGTTCATCTGCGGCCGCATCTCCAGATCGTTCCAGGCATTAGCATTATTGCGACTGCCGCGCTCCGTGAGACTGGTGCTCCGCTTGCGGTTGGACGAGTCCTCGTTCAGCGAGTTCAGGTTCACAATGTCGCTGGACAGCATCTTGGCATTCGACTGGATCGACTGAAATTTAGCAACTTCAATTAGTAAAAGCTGGAAAAAGGGTGTTCGCCATACTTACGCTCTTGATGTAGCTCACACAGTTCTTGCGCAGCTCCAGCTTGCACTTGAGGAACCAGCCGGCTATGACATGGTGGGCCAGGGAAACTGTGTAGTGGTCGTAGCGATGGGGTTTCGTATACGGCAGCGTGATGGCAAACACGTACATGTTGTGCATGGACGTGAAGTTGGCGAAGAGATGCTTGGACAGATGGATAAGCACTGTATAAATAGATAAATTAAATTTAGTTATTATTTAAGTAGATAAGATCTTAAATATTAAAGATTTAGTTGACTTAAGTTGTATAGTAACATGGGTAAGAATATCTCAACTGCGCATATAAACTTCTTCAAACTTGGGTAAAAATTTTTTGTTGTCCAAAAAAGTATGAATTTTAATTATTTGAAATTTTGTATCGCGGTTTTGGAAGTCTTCTTCATCCTATAAAATAAACTCAACTATCCATCTCATAACCAACTTAACTTACCCGAAGAAACATTCCAAGATTTATAAATTTTTATATGTTATAATATATTATTAATTTACTCACGCGACAGAAACTCCAGGACCGGAGTGGCCAGCGCATTCGTGTCCGACATCTTGCTCATCTGCAGCAGCACGTCTGGCAGCTTTCGCATCAGTGCCTCCGGCATTTCCAGTATCAGAATGGTCATGGTGTTGATGCAGACGCTGGCAATGCCGGTGAGAACCCTCGAGTTCAGGGCCGTTATGATGCTGTAGTGCTGCTGCGGCTGCAGGCTCTCGTGGTAGATGACCAAGGAAGCGATGGCGGGCAGCACGAGGGCGTGGAACTCGTCGGTGGGCCGCTTGAACTTATTGTTGCTGACCACGTTGATCTTGAGCAGCGAGTTGGCCAGCTCCTCGATGTCGTTGCCCTGAACGAGCGCCTTGTTCTGCAGCACCTTGGGCAGCTCCCGGATGACCAGCTGGAACACCTGGTAGTCGGTGTCGTGCTCCAGACACCTCACGATCAGCTTGCAAACACGTCGAATGGATATCGCAGTGGTGTGAGCCTGGGCCAGCAGGGGTGAATCAATGCCCAGGTAGTGACTGAACTTGACCACCTCGTTGCTGCCCTCCGGATAGCCAATGTGGTAGGCACCATTGGCCCGAGCCTTCAGCATCCAGCTGAATATCTAAGGGTGAAAGCCAGGAGTTATTAGTTCAGGGAAAAACAAAACAATTAGGAGCGCAACTCAATTTTATAATAAAGTTAAACATAATTTAAAATCGCAATACACATAAATTCAAATATTAATAACAATAAAATAAAATAATAATATATAAAAAATAACAATAATAAAAGCATAAAAAACTGCATAACTATTAAAAAAAAAAATTATAGATAATTATAAAATTATAAGTAATTAGAAAACTACAAAATATTTAATGTAATTAAGTAAGTGAGGAAAATTGTTTAAATATTTTAAAAATAATAATAAGTTAAAAATATCAACGCAATGTGACTAGCGCGATAATTATAAGTGTGCACTTGTTGCGCTGGGATATTAAATAAATAGATACAATTAAATTAAAACGATCTGAATGCCATTTGGACTCACTTTGTGCCGCACAACGCTGGTGTGCTCGAAAATCTTGGGTCGATCGTAGTGCAGTTCCAGGTGGTCCATGAGAATATTGAATATTTTAAGCGCGTGGACCGCTGGCAGGCGGTGCAGCTTGATGGCGAATACCTTGACCAAACCATCGACGGCGGCGATGATGTCGGCGATCTCGGACTCGTTGTTCACCATGCCAACGGCCGCATCCGAAAGAGAGGCGTCTCCAGCCGACGAACCATGACGCGTGTGCTCGAAGGGACGATTGATGATGGCCTCCAGGATGTCCAGCAGGTCCATGCAGCGCTTCGTGTCGCAGTGCGTGGCAAAGTTAGAGAGAGCGCGGGCCACCGCCACTCGCACCTGCACACTTGGCTCCTGGTGGATGTGCGACAGGTGGACGAGAACCACCCGACTGAGGATCTCCTCCTCGTAGCAGGCACGGTTCTGGTCCATAATCCGCACCAGTGCCTCGATCGTCTTGATGCGCACACTCACATTGGCCATGCGGTAGTAGCGACGGACGAATTGGGCCAAGACCTGGAGCCATTCCGGCCGTGTGGCCGTTACGCGGCGGGATCGGTACTCGATGAGGGCCAGAACGGAGGCCTCGGGCCGTCGGTCCGCCACTCGCTCGATGAGATCGTAGATGCGCTCCACATTGCCCAGAATCTGGGATCGGTCCTGCTGCAACAGCTTCTCGATGCAGTCGATGTTCTCGTGGAAGTTGATCTGCAGATGGTGCAGGCGATCCTTGTTTATGTTGGTCGCCTCGTAGTACTCGATGTTGCTGACTATCGAGGACATTATGTCGCAGATCCGATCCCAAATGATCTCCGAGAGCTGCCGCTTGTTGATCACCATGCGAACGCTGAGAATCACCTCGAAAGTGACGATCACCTGCCGACTGTCCAGTGCCTGAAATTTAAAAATAGATATGTATTTTTAATCCTTACTTAAAAACCAGTATGTATATTACCCGCAGGAAGGCCGTCAGCACATTCGTTGCATAGGTCATTGGTGAAACTTGGAAAATTATGTTGGAGCCGAAGATATTCATGTTCAGGTGGAACACGGCGCCGCGCAACAGGTGAGCGTCATCGTAAAGGGCACGGTCGTTGAGGATGCTGCACATCATCTTCATGGAATGGTATCCCAACTGGGTGCCCAATAGGTTCTTCATGATCTGAAAATAATGAAATGATAAGATGATTATAATTGTTTCTTTCGGGTTTAGTTTTTGACAATAATTTGTATAATAAAAATCAAAATATAAGTGTTATTTCTTGGTTTTAATGTATAACAGTTATTCCCTTCACATATTTGAAAAAAATAAAATAATTAAAAAAACATGCTAACCGTGTTTTATATAACTTTCTAAAAATCTTTTAAAAAAGGCAACCGCGCATATTGTATAACTATTTTTTTTTAAATTTACTTTACCCACAAAATCGCCATAAATTAAGTTTGAGTTTTATTTTTGATCAGAACGAATAACTGTTATTTGTCAACTTTTATTATAAAACTTAAATTATAACAGGTGTTCTTTAAGTTTTACTTTACAAATCAGAAAATAACTGTTAAAATGTGATTTTTAAAATAAATCTTATAAAAGTTACGGTCCCTAGAGTTTAGAGTTAATAATATAAAGTTTAAAAATATACCTAAGTAGCCCTAAACTTTCCTGTAAGATTTAATTAAAACAGAAGCCCCTTTGGCAGTAGTCAAAATTCAAAAGGCCATCGAAATGAAAAAGCAAATCGTCAAGGAGTTTATAACCGTGAAGAGGGTGCTTCACCTTCCGCCGGAGCCACCTCCGCCGCCTGAGCCGCCAAAGCGCCACGTTCTGGCCGTCGGCAGCTGCACCCTGGACATGATCATCATTGTGGACCAACCCCTAACTCCCGGACAGGTGCAGCGCACCAAGGAGGGAAGCTGGCGACGCGGCGGTCCGGCGACCAACATCTGCACCGTGTGGCGACGATTGGGCTTGGAGTGCGAGTTCCTCGGCGTCTTGAGCAGTGTGCGCGCCTTCGAGAGCCTGCTGACCGGCTTCCAGTCGCAGGGCATCGACATCTCGCACTGCCCGCGGACGAACCACCGTCCTGCCCACCGGAGCATCTTTGTCCAGCGGCACACGGATTCGCGCACCATCCTGGAGTTCTTCAACGCCAACCAGGAGCTCAGCTATCAGCAGTTCGTGGGCGCCGTCGACTTTCAGAGGTACACCGAGAAAAAAAACCGTTCTCATCGATGTTGATTTTAGTATTTTCGATCACAAAACCTAGCCGAGATCGAAAATACTAAAATCAACATCGATGTCATCTCGGTTTTGAGAATGGTTTTTGAGTATGTGTGCTATCGATATCGAGATGACGTCTTCTCGGTTTCAACATCGAATCGATGTCGATTTTAAGATACAAATTGAATAAGAAGAAGAAAAAAATAATTGAGGAATCGGGAATTTTGCCTCTTGCACCCCCCTCCTGTCCCCGTCGGTGTTGTTGTTGGTTCCCCCCGTTTCACAACTTATTTTTCTTTCCTTTATTTAAACACATGGATGACGTTACCCTATACTATGTTCGTATATAAGAACACATTTAGTTTCAAATTTTAACTGAAACAATAACTGAAATTATTATATAATTAACAAATGATAAATATAAAATTCAAATAACTTACTATCTTGGGAAAAACACCTTTGGTCGGTCGTGGGAATCGAACCCGTTGCCTCACAGTTTGCAGTCAAACACTCTACCAGCTGCGCCATGGAAGCATCACATGAGGCGCTGTACAAAGTTCAATCACATTTTGTTCTCTTGGGTTCTTGGTTTTTACTCTTATTAAGCCATTATTTGTGTTAGATTAACAAAATCCTAATATTAATATTAATGAGTAAAAAAAAAAACGCAAAGAATTTCCGCCTCGACGCGGGACTGAACACACACTTCCGACTATACGCTTACAAAACATATAATCCGCACGCTTTAGTCCCCTAGGCTACCGATATCAAGAAGCATGACTGCCCGATAGCTACAAGAGAGGAATTCGGCCCTTTTCCTCTCATTTTTTCGATGTCTTTTCCTCACGTCCCTCTTCCACAACATAAAAACTGAGATTGACTTTGACTGGGAATACTAGAATCAACACTGCTTTCATCTTGATATCAAGAAGAAAAAAGTGAGAATACGAATACTAAAATCAAGATCGGTCGATGTTGATTTTTTTCGTTCTCAATTTTTCTGGGTGTACTCGTGGATCCACTTCGAGTGCCGCAATCCCGTCGAGATGCTGCGCATGGTGCGGGCGGTAATCGAATTCAACGAGCGCTGTCCCGAGTCGCGGATCATGCTCTCCGTGGACCTGGACAACTTGCGGCCGGCCACCATGCTAATGGCCAGCATGGCGGACTACGTCTTCGCCCGGAAGACCATGATGCGCACGTACGCCTTCATGAATGGACGCGAAGTAGTTTGGGCGATCCGGGATGAAATGCGGGCGGCTCGGATGCGGTGGGAGAAGGAGCAGCCCCGAAAGATGCCATACCTGCCGGCTGATCCGCCGGCCGAAGATTCCGATGAAAGGTGCCATGGTCCGCCGAACAATCAGCCCATAGTCATTTACAACAACTACGTGGAGGGCGCAAGTTGCCTGATGGCAGACGACACCTACTTCAAGGTGGGCCCCCAAATCCCGCCGCAAATCGTGGATGTAGTGGCCGTGAACGACACCTTCTCGGCCTCCGTGATCTACGCCCTGCACAAGGTGAAGATGAAGCTGAGGGATGCCATCGAATACGGAACCCGTGCCTCCGCGCTCAAGTTGACCGGGAATGGATTCGATGTGCTGCGATGTATGCCCAAGGACCTAATCGGTTGTTACTATGCCTAAAACGCAGTTTGACTTCTTAACAATTTGTAAATCATAAATTAATTAAAATGTTTAAAGCGAATGTTTGTGAACTTCTTAATTAAACAGTTTTTGAGAAGAGAATGGACCTATCAATAAAAGAAATCGCAGTTCAATAATACAAAAATATTACAAAACGCGAATTCGTCAGAAGCGGAACATCCAATGTGTGAACATGTCTGAATCGTTCACCGGAACTTAATGAAAACCTTTTGTAACATAAACATTTTGTAAAACATAAATTAATTAAACAGTTTAAAGCGAATGTTTGTGAACTTCTTAATTAAACAGTTTTTGAGAAGAGAATGGACCTATCATTAAAAGAAATCGCAGTTTAATAATATAAAAAATATTACAAAATGCGAATTCTTCAGAAGCGGAACACAGAAAAAAGTTTAAAAACAGGACTTAATTGTATTCCGGAACCAAGCGAAAATCTCATTATAAGCATTATAAATGTAAAAATAAAAATCACAGACTAATTTATATCTCGGAATATACATACATATCTCATATATTCCCCCATCAAAATCAAAAACCTAAGGTCTCTTGAAGGGAACTGGGTCAGCGCCCCTTTCGTTTATCATCGATATCTTAAAGGCCTTGAAATAGTGTTTTTCCACCTAAACTTTAGAGATTCCATGATCACTTCTCTGGAGCTAGGGTTAATCATCATCGACCGGAACATGTCGAATGATAAAAAGCGCTGAAGTCAGCGGAGCCTTCAATAAGTGGTGAAATTATCGTGGCAGATAAAGACTGAGCAGAATACTCATTAGTATTAATAAACAAATGTCGGGGAAATCTCTGATAGCGATTGCCAAATGAGAAAATGAGCAGATAAATCCCCGTTGAAGCGAGGACATAAAAAGCGAAGCAACTTGCAATCAACACCGCATTTGACCGATTCCAAGCAAAAAAGCACATCGTACGGAAATGGATAGTGAGTGGAATAAAAACAGATGGCTTCAATTTAATCAACGAGTTCTCTGTTCTTTCAGATCGCCTAATGCTATTATGGCTGCTTTTGGGCACAGTCACGGCATCGGAAATAGTCTATCCAGATATAGCCGCAGTCTGCAGGATTTCCGATCCCTTTCAAAGTCTGCCCCATAAGGACAATTGCCAAAGGTTCTATGTTTGCACTGGCGACGAGGAGGTGCCCGTCCAGGAGTTTAGCTGTCCGGCAGAGTATCATTTTAGCAAGAAGCTGATGATTTGTGTGCCCGGATCCTGCTCCAATGAATCCTCCTTTTGCGGACTAACCAACAGTGTACAGCGAATCAATGGCGATTGCTTGCGATACAGACAGTGTCTAAAGGGCGGCTCCTACGCCGTGGCCAAGTGTTCCGCCGGAAACTACTTCGATCCGCGGAGGAGAGCCTGCCTTCCAGTGGCCATAACTGCCGCTCATCAGTGCAGCTGTGTGCTGCCTGAGAATGCCACCCTGTCCAATCCCAGCGATTGCGAGACCTACTTCCGCTGTCATTCCGGGCAGGCTGAGCTGGTGCAGTGTCCGTCGGGAGCGTACTTCAACGCGCAGGCGGGCACCTGCCTGCCGGATCTCACGGGCATTTGCCTGGAGAAGCCCACAATGCCGCCACAGCTGACGGAACAGGCTCTCGCCATGGACGAGTGCATCCGGACGGGCAGCCGCCTGGCGCCGCACAGCCGGGATTGCCAGCGATACTATGTGTGTGCCAGGAAGCGGGTGCTCGAGATGCGATGTCCCCGAGGTCAGTACTTCGATGTCGTTCGGCGTTACTGCAGTTTTGATTCGAGGAGCGAGTGCCAAGCAACTGAGGTGGTGAAGGAAAAGCAGGAGCAGGAACAGCAGCCGAAGAAAGAAGTGGTCGAGGTGGACATGCCAGTCAAAAGTGAGGTGGAGATGGAGCTGATCGCGCCGGTTCAGAAAAATTCCGAAAAAGAAATGGAACATTTCGAAGAAAAACCAGAGACGGAGGCCATTGCCAAACAGCCGCAGACTCCAGCGGAGGCAGTGAACAGCTACGACAAGTTTTCGTCCAAGTTCATTTCATTATAATCTGTTAGATTTAACCAATTAATTAAATAAATAAAGCAGTGTCTAACTTCTATGATTAAAGACGAATCATATCTACTCAAAAACTTGTAAACAAAGTTATTATTAGAATTTTACCTGTTTTTAAAATCATGAATTTGATATGAATGCATTTTAATTAAATGGTTGATATGTATTATTAATTAGAATTTTACTATGATTGATGTACATAGGTAACCAAATAATGAGATTGTAGTTCGAAGAGTTTCTTAACGAAAAGGTATAATAAAATCTCTAAAAATAATTATCCAATTCCTATACGTGTTGCCTACAAACTCACCTTAAAAGAGGACGGACAGTAGGGAGCATGGTTAACAGTCCGGCACAACGTGGTGATGCACTGCGGCAGCGGTTCGCTGGGGAAGATTGTGTACCCGATGACCATCTCGAGAATCGTGAGGCACTGCAGTCCAATCTCGTTGACGGTGACGCTGCAGCTCAGGTCGCAAGCGTTCCTGCAAGAAGAACGGGTTTACTCTGCAGTCTTTTGAGTAAGATATAACTCTACTCACTGCACTATGCCCACGAGGATCTCCTTGTCCAGATGCGCCGCATTGAACTTGATCAGGTTGACCAGAATGTCAAGATAGGGGCTGAGCAGATTGGCCTCCGTGATTGCTGGGATCCAGAGCAGCATGAACTTGCCAATCTGTAAGATAATATCAGGATTGAAAAGCAGAAAACTATCAATCCCGGACGGACCTTCTCCTCGAAGTTGGTGATGTCCTTCCCGTTGTCAGTAAGCGTATCGAGCAGCTCGAGCAGGTGGCGCAGATCCTCGCGCGCCTCGTGGTTCTGGATGACCAGGAAGAACTTCTCCCGCATGATGGTCAGGTTCTTGTACTGTGTGTGGATGAGCCGCTTGTAGAAGCTCAAGGCAATCTGGCGCGTTTCGGCCGGCTTGTTGGGCACGATGAGATCGTTGGTGAGATTGAACAGAATGGTTATAGCGGTCTGTAGGTGAAAATAACAAGAATTTAAGTAGTTTTCCCGGGACAAAACCAAGCCAAAGCAAACCTCGTCCAAATTGAAGTTGTGCAGCTGCATGTCGCCCAGCTCCTTCAGCATCCTGCATCGCTGGGCCACCGGCTGCTCCGGTCGCAGCTCCCTCTCGAACTCCGGCCGCAGTGTCCGCTCGCCCACGTAGCCTGCAAAACGAATCCCCGAGGTTCCAATTGAATTCCCATTTCATATTGACGACTCGACCACGAGCTTTCTTACCTGCCGGCAGCGATTTGAGGAACAGCTTGAACTTGGACTTGTCCTTGGAGCTCATGGTGGGTCCTTACGGGCGGCGGTGGTCGTTGGAGCAGTGGCGGCGAGTGTGGGCAATCAGCAGTTCCTATCCTAGATCCTAATAACAAATTATACACAGCACAGAACAGAGGAAGTCAGCAAAAACAGCTGAGCGCAGTGTTACCAGACCGGAGTCACCACCAAATCCGCTGGGACAACCCTGATTTGACACTAAAATAGACAGCACTTGCCGCCTAAATTCAAACGATGGTTATTTCTTAATTTTATTTATTTATTTTATTTCTTATTATTTATTTTTAGTTTTTTATTTTTTATGGTTAAAAATATTGTCAATCCAAAACGAGAGCTGTAGCTTAGCTGCTCACCGTAAATATATGTTATCTACATGTCATGTAGAAGAGTGAATGTATTTTTCACGTATTGCGAAAGGCATACCTTCGGGCACCGTTAAAACATTTTCTATAGTGGACAATATTATTAAAAATATGAAAATTAAAAAAATGTATGAATCAAGAGGAGAAGGTCAAACTTTCCAACTTGTAATCCAGAGCCTTTGTAAATACATTTTGGAAATGAAAAACAGAGACTTTAATGAAACACTTTCCAAAACATTTATTTATAAAAAATTTCAAACATATACATAGGTTTAAAGAAGACTTTGATTCAGTTCTGCATTGGCCTGATAAACATTTTACATGCTTTCAAAGAACTTCTGCCGCGCTTATTCCAATTGCCCCACCAAATTCCATTATTGTCCGTCAGAATGGTTTCGGATTCATGATAATATCCATTTAGGTTACTGAAAAAATGTAATTAGATTAATTATAGGAACTTGAATATACGTTTGTATAATTACCACTGAGAGCCAAGCCACCAAGACCAATGAAGCACTTGGCCTAAGCCGAAATATAAACATTGGAAGTGTTCGAATTTCCTATTCACAGAACCTGACAATGCATCGCCAGCAGTACCAGAGTAGTTCCCAAGGGACTTTAAAGAGTAACCTTGAGATTCGCTTCCAACCGAAAAGTTATCATATCTAGCAAAAGTAATGGAACCATTAAAGTGGATAAGTTGAACGTACAACTCATGTCTTTGACTTGTAGTAAGCAAATGCAGTTTCTCGCAACCAATCCAGAATTCTCCCTTAATATTTCCAAAACCAGCTTTATAATTGTAATCATGATCTAGTTCCATCTCGCTAAAGGAGACACTTCCATCGATTCGTCGCTGGATTACCATCCAACCCGAGCCGGCAGAAGGGATATCCTGAAAAACAGCTTCAAAGTCTTCGAGACCAGGAATTTCAGGGATTTCACTAATTTGTTTTTCATATTTAACCTCAGAGGACTTGGTTATGTTCTGATTATTGCTTAGTTCGAGTGCCTTTTTCAATTCGTCATGCATCTGCTTCATCTTGTAGTCATTATATTTTTTTGTCAACTCGATGGAAGCATTTAAGGACTTTATTATGTCTTCCTTATCCTTTATTTTGCCTGCAAACAGATCATTCCTTTCCCTTTGGTTTATGCAACTTCTTTCAGAATCCTCCAGCTTTCGCTCTAGAAAAATAATTCTTTCGTTTAGCCTTCTAATAATCCTGTCTTGTTCCCTGGTTCTGATTGCAATATCTATATCACAACTGTCCTGAAATATAAATTTATTATTAGGAAATTCAGTCATGGGTAATTATATATGTACTTACAAAATTATTGTCAATAGATTCTTGGGAGGATCCTTGAGATGACAGCGAGAGATTGTTAAGTTTATCAGGACTCATAGTGACTGAAAATTATAAAAAGAAAAATATGAATGTAAGCTTTTTCATCAGCAAACTTGAGACAAATTTTGGTTGCCCGAGTTCCTTTCATAATATTTAATTTTCACCGAGCTCTTATATTTCATAAAGGTTACAAATTTTCACGCTTGTGTATTATTTTAATAGTTAGTCTATTGTTTCTATTCCATTTTCAAAAACCATAAGTACAAACAAATTTCTAATCTTGAATCGGTTATATTCTCGTCTGCTTATCGCATTCTCCCGCCCTTTTTGACATCATAAACTTGATGGGAATTTCAGTAGTTTCCAATCTTACAATTTTAAAATTGTTTCACCAAATTCGCATTACAAATATTACAAAATATTTATTTTTAAGATATAGTTTTTTTGTTATAAAGGAATTTCAAAAAGCGATTGTTTTAGACTCGAGAAACTTGCTCTTGCTCTTAATCCGCTCACTAACCGTTGGCAAATAAGAAATACAACTAATCTCAACCACTGCTTAGTTCTCCTGATAAGAAGTGGCGTGCAGCTTTTTTCATTATATGTTTTAACAACACTAATTGATAGTAGTACAGATTGAGCTTTTTCCAGTATCAGAAACGTTTAGCTGAACTAGTTCTAGATCTTTTAATTCCATTTAAAAAATAAACGAAAAATTTTTATAAAACTAAAAAAGGCAACAAATGTGTCGTAACTTGTTTTCTTTTTAATTTTCTATGAAAAAAAGTGATAAGTTGGCCATTTTGTTTTACCAAACAAGCAGAAGACATAAAAGTATATTGTTCTATTGGGTATACTCCTTCATTTGCTATTTCTTTCACATAAATTGAAGCCCCTCAATTGAGTGATATCAACCCCAGACATCTTCTAAGATTAACGTCGGCTCTCGGTCGGATCGTATCATCCTCCAAAGTGACATCTAGTATACCACATATAAGTTAAAGCGTTCTCCGGACTGGCTGCCTACGTCATAAATCAGCCAAGAAGCTGACTTGACTTGATGTGGATGTATTTTGCTGTATTTTCTGTATTTTGCTGTGCTTTGACGGTTCCTTCTTGTCGATTGGGCTCGTTGATTTATAACAAGTTGCTGCTGCTTCTTCTCCAGATTCGTTGTTTGGCTTTAATTGCTGCTGGCCGTTATTTTTGTATTGACACAAGGTTAGTCAATTGCACTAAAGGCAATCCAAAGGCACAGGGTCTTGTATAGGAAGTGTTATTTGCGTCTTTGGATCGGAAATAAATAATGGATTCCCTGCCGATGCGAATGTAAATTTCTTTGTATCTCTATTCTTTTATGGCCATCCCCTCGGCTATTAAAAATTTCCATCGGCCAATTAGCGTCCATAAAGGGGTATCGTCTGGACCAAAGTCTGAGCCAGAGCTCTTCTATTTATACACCAAGTGTCCGATTTTATTCCCGTCCGCAAGGCACGACGATGACTGGGCGGACTTAGAATCGCGATCGCGAACGCTGTTTCCACGCATGACAGGTGTAATAACCGCTGGAAACAGTGTCTGGGGACTATTTTTATCGGCCCGAACGAAAGTGAAGATCACATTTAACGCTTCGCAGTCGCTTCAGTCGGCTTCAACCGGTATGTGTCTGTGAGTCCGATTCCGAATCCGAGACAACCAATATATATTTTCCTACTTTTGTTCTGTTTCGCCAGTCTCGCACATGCGATTATTGTGGTTTTTTGTTTTTAGTTGTATTCCATTTTATTCTATGCGTAGTCGTCGTGCGCTGCCCGCTGGGACTCACTCCGTATAAAATCAGCATAATCAGAAATTCTACCCAGCAGTTGGTTCTAAGCCATCGTCGGAGCCGCACGCTCATCGCGCTTTTGGCCTGGAATAGATAGTTGATCGCGGCTTTCGATTTTCTCCGCCCACTTACCTTTGCCCCTCGAGTAATTGTGCAATTCGTGTGTGAAAATAACAATTGCAAGATTTACACAAGACAGAAGTGAAGTGAAAATATATTTGGTTAGAGATCAACTAAAGATAATTACAGTCTTTTGCTGCTTTTCGGATTATTCATATCTACATAAATGTATACACATAAGAAGGTATGATTTCGCGTTGTTCTATATATTCGCGTTCGCTTCCTAAGTCTTTTGTTTCGCGTGACGCTGAAAGGAAGCAAATTCGCTTGGCTAAATGAAATCGAAATTTAAATCAATCTTTATCACAACTGGATTTGGCACGCTCTCTAGATGTCTAAGTCTTATATAGCCCCGCTTCGGTTTCCCTCTTCCTCGACACTTCCGCATGCAGTCCAGTATAATTTGGATAATTTTAACCATTTTCGGCAACTTTGTGAACTTAACTTTTTTGTTTTCCTTTTGCAATTTTAATGAATGACTTAAAAGTTGTATGCATAAAATACGGTGTTGATTTAGATCTTAATACAACGAAGTAATAAATAATGAAACTTGCCGAATTGGTCGCTTTTGTCTCTTAAAGTAATTGTGTTAAAAGTGTCTGGATCATAACACATTATTATCTGCAATAAATTAAATAAATTAAGCTGTTATTTAGAGCGAGTCTTTTAATGGCTAGAAATAAATAAATAAATAAACAGCTCTTCAGAGGGTTTCTAGATTGTACGAATCTAAGCATCTTAAGGAAAACGTTTATCCATAATAATACTTAATAATACGGTGTCTTTATCGAGTTCCATATGAATAATTAAAATCTAGTTTCGCTGCCATGTGGAGGTATTTCATCAAAATATTATTCTCACCTATCCAAATTGATTAGTCACTTCGCGTTATTTGTGGCTCCGAAAGATTTTGTACCGTAGCAACAAATTAGCATAATGTGGTCAATATTATTTAATGCTAAAATGTTAAAATTAGTCGCCGCCAAGTCGATGAAGCCAAAACAAAAGCCAAAAACAGCCGAAAGGTGAATAAACTGAAGGGGCCTGAGCGCGGCTTCTGTGTAATTTCTTGGCCAAGCTGGGGGAACTGGTTCAAAGACGAGGACGTCATCGGCGAAACCGAAAGTGTAGAGCGGGCGGGCTTTAGAGAAGACGGGCCCACAGACCTGGTTAAGACTTACATGGCTTTTATCTTATCTCTCGCCAGAAGCTGCCATTCGAGATGTCATCGGGTCGGCTAATTTGCTTTGGGCTCCTCTTTCTGGCCGCTTTCGGCCCCGTGACGTCACAGCGAACGTCACTGGACGTGGCTCTGAAGAACGTCTACAGACCGCTGCGTCTTCTGGGCCTGGCTTTTACCGGACGATCTGGTGACGATCCACAAAACGTGCAGCGCGTGCAAATCGCGGGGGTAAGTCCAGTGAATAATGCAATCATTGATCCGGATTCGATTTGAGCACTTTCTGGCATATATTTTCTTTTTTTGGCGTTAAGTATTTATTCGAAATGCGGTCAAATATACTGTTATTTCAATGTTTAATTGACCAATTTGGTGGTGGATAGGTGGGGAAATTAAAACTTTTCAATTTTTAATATAAACGAACTATAAAAAAAACATTGAAATATTTATATTAAAATTTAAGGTTTTTAAAACGAAAACAAATGTAGGAATATTTTGGGTTTAGTATTAACATTTTAATAAAATTAATTTGTAATTTGTGAATTAATCAATAATTTATATTATTTTAGTTAATTTGATATTTTGGATATTAGTTAAAGTACATTTTATATTAAAGTAACTTTTTTTTTCTATTTAAGATATATTATAATATTATCATAAATATTTTTCTAACTTCCACATATTTTGTAATCTCTAGACATTGATACTAATTTACTTATTTCCGAACTTGCTCCAGAAAACCCAGAAGTCGAACCCTCGTACGCGAGCCCTACTGGAGTTCTGCGATGCGGAGCACGGACCCGGAAAAAGGAGCCAGGAGCGACCGACCAGTGTGCACCGTCTGCGACCCGGTGACATCGATGTGATTGGAGCCATGGGCGACTCTCTGACCGCCGGAAACGGGATCTTCGCGACGAATCTCCTCCACGTGACCGTGGAGAACCGGGGCGTCGTGTGGTCCATTGGGGGTCAGTATGACTGGCGGAAGTATCTCACGCTGCCCAACATCCTGAAGGAGTTCAATCCCAATCTGTACGGATATGCGATCAAGGACGGGATCTCCACGGACCGCACCTCCCGCTTCGATGTCGCCGAACTGGCCGCCATGTCTCGGGATATGCCCTATATGGCCAAGGTCCTGGTGCGGCGCATGCAGCGGGATCCCAAAGTGAACATGACCTCCGACTGGAAGTTGATCACCCTCTTCATCGGCAACAATGACTTTTGCACCGACATCTGCTATTATCCGGAACCTGAGAAGACGGTCGACTGGCACGAAAGGAATATGCTGAAGACCTATCGCTACCTCAGGGACAATGTGCCCCGCCTTATGCTGAACATAGTGCCCGCCCCCAATCTGCGGTTCCTGACCAACCTCTCGGGTCTGCCGCCCATCTGCTACAGTACCCTCCGCTTCGAGTGTCCCTGCCTGATGGGCAAGGGCAAGGAGCAGCTGGACTATCTGGAGGGGATCATGAAGCGCTGGATAGCCAAGGACACGGAGATTGCCAATAGGGAGGAGTTTAATACTGAGGTGAGATTTAGTTATCAGTAACCAGGGAATGGGCTAAAAACTCGACGCTATTTTTAAAAATATTCCGCAAGAAAATCTTTTTTACAAGTTAATTAGTATATAATAAAGTATACGGTCTTTTAATTCAGTTAAACAAATCAATATATTTTAATATTGTAGAAAATATTAATATATTGTAGAAAATATTAATATATTGTAGAAAATATTAAAGTAGTAGAAAATATTAATATTGTAGAAAATATTAATGTAGTAGAAAATATTAGTATTGTAGAAAATATTAATGTAGTAGAAAATATTAATATTGTAGAAAATATTTTGATTTAAGAGATTTTGTAGTATTGCTAAATATTATATTATAAAAACGTTCTAAAAGTTATTCCTTCTCCCGTTTCAGACCTTTACGATAAATGTGCAGCCCTTTTCGCAGTTCCAGGACTTTCCGCGCACGCGTTCCGGCCAAACAGATACTCGATTCTTCTCGCAGGACTGCTTCCATCTCAGCCAGCGAGGACATGCGTCGGCGGCCAACTCCATTTGGAACAATATGCTGGAAATGCCCGAAGAAAAGAGTGGTTTCGCCACGCATCTCTTCGAGAAATTTCTCTGTCCCACCGAACAACGGCCCTTCTTCATCACCCGGGAGAACAGTCGTCCGGAGTTTGTGATCTAATCCAAAGTGGTGCCTGCCCGTTCCCCTCTGTGAATTACTCCCTGTGATATCGCGCCTAAGTCTTCTTTCCATGTTTGCCTATGTATTTGTAGTTTTAATTAGCCACACGCTAAGTGTAAATAAACGATGATAGTCAGAAAGTCAAATAAAATAATATTCTTGAATTACGTGAGTGAATTTTGCTTGGCGAATTTCCATATATCCAGCATAAACGGTGGGCACGTGTTATTCTTTTGGCAGAGTATGGAAAACTTTGATGGCAGTTGACATCGATTACAAGCGATCCATAATAATGAGAAAATATAGCGGTTGAGTAGTTATTTTTATGTTCAACTAAAAAAAATAATCATAAAGTTTCTACCGTAAAATATTAATTCAATCGGAAAGGAAAAAAAAAATTGAAATAAAACATATTTTATTATTGTATGATTTAAATATATCGTTTATAATTTCTTTTGGAATCGTATTATTTTTTTCACCTTTTTCGAATTAAGTGTTAAAAGTAAGTCATCCATAAAGTTACAACAATAAGGCAGGCATATATATTTAACTGCTCAAATTGATTGTAAGTATAGATCACAGCCAAGAAACCAAACTGGTTTTGCTAAAAGAATTGGAGTAAAACAGAGTTAAAGCAAACATTTATAGCACCTCCTAAATAATGACATAAACCTAATGAGCATGTGAAAACGAGACCCACATAATAATGTTAATTATGTGTTGCCTGTTACTATAATCGCCTTAACAAATCGTTTCTTTTGTGCCTCCAACGGAGTAAATTGCTCACTCTTACGAATGGAGTTGAAATAAAAATTAATAACCCATTAAGTGTCGGCAATAAGGCAGTCGTATATTTTCTTAAAACATCTCCCAGCTCGTTATGAAGTTGCGAATCACCGCGTGATAAGCGATAAGAGCTGCCGATGACACACGACAAACAGTCCGTAGATGGGCGCGTCATAAAACCTGTTACAATTTATTTATTTATATTTTTTCCCCAGTCAGCGTGGCACACGCACCAGCGGACATCAATAAAGCCGGATCATAATTGTAGTTTAATTCGCTTGCCGGGTACTAAAGCGAATTTTGCTCGCCCGTGTACGTGATTTCGAGCGGGCTAATGGTCCCCGCCGAGCCCCATTTACTCCGCCCCCTCAAAATCACCCGCTCAACGGTTTCGCTGTCTGGTGCTAAAAACCAGCAACAAACATTGGGTAAACAAATAAAAAACACAACCAAGCAGAAACATCAATTATCGCATTTATTTCGAGAGCTGGCTTATTGCAGCATTTCAAAGCCGGCGCATTGTCATTGACTTTGAACTTGAGCCCCGTTTATCCCCCGCATATCGGTCAGCACATTTTTGGGCTCCGATTTCGGTCTTCCATATGTACGCATATATGCGAGGCATGGTCGACGAGTTTCTCGTATTTTTCGCAGTGAGTCTCCCATTTGAACCTTGACCAGAGGAAAGTGTCTCTAAAACTGGTTATCAATGCGATGTTTTTTGCATATCCTATGACACATTTTAAAACATTCAATCAGAGTAAGCTACATTTTTGTAAAATTAATAAGATCCATTTAACCATTTCAGTTTTACGAATTTTTTTTCCTCTTAAGAAATGATTTAATACTTAGTTTAGTTTATATATTATTTTATTTATTTATTAATATTCATCAAAAAATTTATTTTATCACTTTATTAATTTTATGTACTTATAAAAATATACTACCTATTCATAAAATATTCACAAAATAGGTGTTACTGCAATTATAAAAAATCAACTAAAGTTTAAATGGGAAAATGCAAATTTATATGTTAATTTAGTAACCCGTTAACTAAGGAAAAACCAGATAGACTAATGTAATTTGCAATGCCTCAATTGATTCTGTCCTCGTAGATATCTTATTTCAATAACATCAATTAAAAGCGGGGCCTGGTGACCCATTTTAATGAGTGCTTTTACTGAATGAGCTTTGATCGGGGGATGAGTATCTCTGGATTGGAATCCGGACACTGTGTACCAATCAAGTTGTCAATCAATAAATAATAATTTTATTAAGTCACAGACCGTAAATATCGAAGGTATCAAAGTATAATTACCTGTTTTATCTGCGACTTTGTATTCCCCATAAATTCAAACTCGTTTGCTTGGCGCCAATTAAAGCGCCATCAGTGAGTAGAATCCAGTACCAACTTTAGATACGATAGATATCGTATAATATTCATTAGGGGGATTCCCTAAACTGTTAAATTGCTGAATTGTTGAAAATTCAACAAAAAATTTCAGCAATTAAGGGAACGACCCAAAATGGTTCCTGTTGAATTTTCAAACAGCTGTTATTTGTTGAAAAGTTTCACGGAACTTAAAGCATGTAAAATTTGATTTATTATTGCTAGTTACTGTCTAAAAGTGTTACCAAGGTAAAAAGAACCACAAATATGCTTTCTAAGTTTATTTTAAAATAAATAATCCGTACTGGTGATACTAAAATGTTACAGAGTTGCCATGACTTTTAAAAAAAGGTGACAACTCTGGCTTTTCAGCAATTCAACAAAATTTTCAACAGCCCCGAGGCTGATGAATTGCTGAAATTTCTGAAAGTTGACTTTGTATGGAACAGCTGATTAACAGCTGATCAAAATTCAACAATTCAGCAATTCAACAGTTTAGGGAATCCCCCTATTGTGAATGAGTTATACATTTAATACCCGGTAATCAACAGGTTTTTTGGGTATATTATTTTCACGAGTGTCTTGAACCGAAACTTCTTTAAAATTTGCCTAAAATTGCTAAATAAAATTGAAGAAGAAATTCAACAATCTTTTCCTTTATTTAAATATTGAATTCTATATTTTACTTGACGTATGTGTGCGTTATTCGAATAAATAACTTTTGCTTCTCCTAATATTTTAAACCAAAGCATGCAAATAACTGTTAACCGTTTTTTTCCTTACGCTCTACTCCCGAGAACAACCGAAAAATAGCATGCCCCTCGTTCTCTCTCTGCGCAGCACACTTCGTTTCCTTTCGTTTTGGTTTTCGGTTGAGCCTTTTACGTTGAGCTGTTCGTGAGACGCTCTATTACGAACCTCGTTCAATGAGAGTTACGAATGTCGCTCGCACAGGGAGACTTATTAAAAGACCGATTGACTGAAAAAGTCATCGCAAAAAGTCTTTTCACTAATACAACTATACAATGTATTCCCTTTGAAAGTACTTGCGAGTGAAAGGGAGAGCAATATCGCCCAAGCACCCCTTCAGTTCTGGCGTCCCATATCGGGGACAATTCCTTAGGCCAAACGCTCGGCCGCTGTCGACGTCAGCAGAGCAGTCGGTATTTATATATTGCGCTCTCTTTCCTTGTCTTATAATTTGTTGTTGTACTAGAGGAAAAAGCGGAACTCCCATACAATTTTCTCTATGTGGCGTCCTCGGTGCGTCCTCGAGTACAGATGACCTGTCCTCGGGTTTTCCTTTGGTGATTACTGAGGGAAAAGTGACATCTGGTACTGAAGGGACGTTAACGTTAACACATGCGCAAAAGACTTTTTGAAACGTCGTTCAGGAGCAATCAGTCTGTAAGCGAGCCGAGCAATAGAAAGCCGAAAAAACTGCTCGTCGCCTGAGTGCGAGCAAAATTTCTGTACGAACAATTCAATCGGTTGCTCTCTGATTGTTTGCTCAAAGTCTCAGAGAAAAACAGTTATTTGCGAGCTATGTTTTAAACCTTTTGCATATTAGCATAAATTCAATTCAAATATGTTTACAAACAAACAAAATATTGCAGTTTATTTCCTAAGGTCTTTGGCTTAACAAAGTTTCACAAAAAATGGTTTCAGGTATTTTGGTAATGAAGCGAATGACCATAGCAGATGAACAAGAAAATCGTTGACAAAGAGTTCTTGAATTATTCTGCTTACCCCGCACTCTTGATATTATAAATTGCCATGCACTTTGGCCCGAGTGGCGCATTTGCGGAAATTTCAAGCCATGAGAGACAATAATCAACGGTTCCAACTCCAAGCAGTGGCAACAGTTTTCTTGTTGGGTAAGGTTCAGTTTTCACAATTATGTTTTCCGTTAAAAAAATAAAAAATGGTTTATTTTGAATTTACTAATCAATTTTGAAATAATAGTTATACAGCTCTGCTTTGCCTTGCCCACCGGAAATGACATAGACATGGATGGGAACTACCAAAACTTCGGAAGTGGACGACCTGTGGATTATCACACGGTAGTGGGTCATTTCAAGGATTTCTTTATGTACCTGCCCGTGATGATGACCACTATTAAAGAAACCATGTCTGGATTCCCGAAATTCGCCGAGGGTGTTCGCATCCTGACTTCCGGCAAAGGACGAGTCGATGGTGAGGACTGCAAGTGCAGTCAAAATGCATTATCAAGCGGCGAGCTTCTGGACACAAATAGTCGATTTGGTTGATCCAAATCTGAGGATTTTGTAGATACTGTACATATGCATAAATCATAAATAAAAGAGAGGCCGTCAAAAAACAAAAATCAAATCTAATTTCTCTTTGATTTCATCTCATATCCCATTTTATGACGCACAGTTCTTTGTTTACAAATATCTCAAGAGGCAGGCACTCCAGAAAACATCACTGTTTGTAAAAATCCTGCATCAGCAATGAGTGGGTTTCAGATTTCAGAAAGGAAGTCTACATTTTCTGAGTACAAAATATAAAATACCACAAAAAATTAAATGGTTTTAAGAAACAAGTGGCCTGATTACAAAGAAGAACAAATAAAATCCATACAATAATAAAACCCATTATAATTATTATTTCACAGTCATTAAACGAAACTATCGACGATTTTTAGCCACAAATCGGGAAAATAATTAATTTGTTTGCCGATGACTTTGTGATTTGCCTACCCAAGGAGAAAATCAATTCGGGGCACTCGATTGGGGACATTTCAATGGCCAAGCCCAAGTATCCCGAGAAGCTTCCATGCCCTTGAAAGAGAAAATTGGTTAGACAATGACTACGCAAGACATTCATAACCCACTTTGGCTGGACTTGAACTACATACATATTTATACCTTCATATTTCCAGTTATTTTCTTAAGCGGTTAGCTGGCTTATTAGCCAGACCCATGGGAATGCTGACAACTTGCCGCGGTTGCGAGTGGAATGGAGCCCAATCAAAGCCTCGAATCTGCATTCCACGGGTTGTGACCCCCTCAAAAAACTCCCTTTCATGTTTGCACTTGTCATTATTGTTAATTGTGTTTGCGGGGTGGCCGCCGTGCATGCATGGACTATATTTACATAGCCGTTCGAACGGCCGAGGCGGGACAAATGTAATTCAAAGTGTCCACTTTCCGTTTCAGTGAGTTCCGCGGCGTTGTAAGGAACGCAACAGCATGCCCAGGAAGCGCAAAAAGTGGAATTACTACTAAAAAACAGTAATAATACTGGAAAGGATAATACTTAGGAACTAAATTACGTATCCGCCTCGATGGCCACTGGCATCGAGCTGCTGGTGGCAGCCGCCCTTTGTGCCGCCTGTCCCGCTCTAAACGAATCCCTGCCGTCGAGTCTCATCGTACTCGGCGAAGTCGGCATCCTGCCCACCGAACTGCCCATCGATGTGGAGGCCACGGATGCCGGACTGGATGAGGACGCCCCCGCGGAGACGCTGGAGTCCATCATCAGCAAGAAGATCAAGCTCCGCGAGATGCGGGAGTGGATCGGGGGCAAGCACCTGCGCATCGGCACGCTGGAGGACTATCCGCTCAGCTACACCGAGGTCCTGGAAAACGGCACCCGCATCGGCCACGGGGTCTCCTTTCAGATCATCGACTTTCTCAAGAAGAAGTTCAACTTTACCTATGAGGTTTTCGTGCCCCAAGACAACATTATCGGCTCGCCAACCGACTTCGATCGCAGCCTCATCGAGATGGTCAACAGCAGTGTGAGTAGCCTGGTGGGGATTGGGTAGGGATAATACCTATAGCTTTGCATTCGGATATTTATGATTTTAATCAATTAAAAGCCACTTAAGGTAATGACAGTAATTTTTGCATTTTAGTTGGAATCTCTCTTGTTATATTTAATATAATTTTACAATTGACTGATATATTAGTAAATTTACGATTTTTTTAAAATACAAAATGTTAAAAATTTAAGTTAAAAATGGAGAAACATGATTTTTGCAAATATTCCTATTTTTAAATCAACAATTTTTTGTTTATTCCAATATAGGTTTAATACTTTTAAACAGCTGATGTATATTAACTTCTTGGTTATTTAAGATCCCTGATAAATACTTAATATCCCTTTAGGAAGTGCACTTGGCTGCGGCCTTCATACCCTCGCTTTCGGACCAGCGGAGCTTCGTTTACTACTCGACCACGACGCTGGACGAGGGCGAGTGGATAATGGTGATGCAGCGGCCAAGGGAATCGGCCAGTGGATCCGGGCTGCTGGCGCCCTTCGAGTTCTGGGTGTGGATCCTGATCCTCGTCTCGCTCCTGGCCGTCGGCCCGATCATCTACGTGCTGATCATCCTGCGCAACCGGATGACCGGCGATGGCCAGCAGACGCCCTATTCGCTGGGCCACTGCGCCTGGTTCGTCTACGGAGCGCTGATGAAGCAGGGCAGCACTTTGTCGCCCATCGCAGGTGGGTTGGGGTTGTGGTTGGAACTGCGGCTGCAATTAGGTTAAAGTGCAATCGAGCGGCCGAGATAGCAATCGCCAAGCGCTAATGGGCCCGCTGATTGCATGCGGGTCGAGACACCAGCAGTTTGTCGTTCTATTAAACCCATTGAAAACCATTACAGACTCGACCCGGCTGCTCTTTGCCACCTGGTGGATTTTCATCACGATACTGACGTCCTTCTACACGGCCAACCTGACGGCCTTCCTGACCCTCTCCAAGTTCACGCTGCCCTACAACACGGTCAACGATATCCTCACGAAGAACAAACACTTTGTGTCCATGCGGGGCGGCGGGGTCGAGTACGCCATTCGAACGGTGAGCGGGATCTCTGGGGAGAAATGAATTAGTTGGATATCAGGAAAATATGGAAAAATCGAATGAGTTAATTTTAGTTCCTTTAAAATCCAGAAAAATTAAGTTATTACATCGTACATTTAGTTGTGTCCATTAAATCAATAATTTGTTTATATTTATATAGCACAGACAATTTCTAGAAATCCAAGATAATAAAACATACCGTTTTCCTTTTCAGACCAATGAATCTCTGTCCATGCTGAACCGGATGATCCAGAACAATTATGCCGTATTCTCAGACGAAACTAACGACACTTACAACCTGCAGAATTATGTGGAAAGGAATGGATATGTTTTCGTTAGGGATCGGCCGGCGATCAACATAATGCTGTACCAGGACTATCTGTACCGGAAAACCGTGAGCTTCAGTGACGAGAAGGTCCACTGCCCCTTTGCCATGGCCAAGGAGCCGTTCCTGAAGAAGAAGCGCACCTTCGCCTATCCGATTGGCTCGAATCTGAGCCAACTATTTGATCCAGAGTGGGTGAGCTGATGGTTATGACGCATAAATAAATCAAATTGCTCCTTTGCAGGCTGCTCAATCTGGTGGAGTCGGGCATTGTGAAGCATTTGTCGTCCAAGGACCTGCCCAGTGCGGAGATCTGTCCGCAGGATCTTGGCGGAACGGAGCGACAGCTGAGGAATGGCGATCTGATGATGACCTACTACATAATGCTGGCCGGTTTCGCCACCGCACTGGCCGTTTTCAGCACGGAGCTGGTGTTCCGGTATGTCAACAGTCGCCAGGAGGCCAACAAGTGGGCGCGCCATGGAATCGGACGCACGCCCAATGGCCAGTCGGTGGCTCCGTCCCGCTGGCTGCGCGGCTGGAGGCGATTGGACAGCGGACACGGCCAGCTGCTGGGCGCCTCCACGCACGGCCAAAATGTCACCCCACCGCCGCCGTACCAAAGCATCTTCAACGGTGGAAGTCACGGGGATCCTCTGAATAGATGGCGACGACCTCTAGGCAATGGAAATGCCATTGGCAATGGTGTCCTACTGGGCGGCGACTCTGAGGGCGGCGTGCGGCGCTTGATCAACGGACGCGACTACATGGTATTCCGCAATCCAAATGGACAGAGTCAACTGGTCCCCGTTCGATCGCCCTCGGCGGCCCTCTTTCAATACAGCTACACTGAGTAGATTTTATTATTAGTGATGGGAAAGTGAACATTTTAATTAAGCAAAATTATCAATTTACTATTAACTGAAAAACATGTTTAAACATATGTATGTACTTGAAAACACCCATGTAACCACCACAATCAAGACGTAGACATCGTTCTAGTGCACTAATAAAAAATAATCGTATACTCTGTGAAGAATCAAAAGTAGGGGAGAGTGGGGGAATTTCGTCACAGGGGCAATTTCGTCACCTGCAATATCTCGGAATCCAAAAGTCGTAAAAGTATATAATTTTTTTGTTTTAGTCCTTCAAGACGGCCAAACACAACCAATGCATTTGTTTTGCACAGAAGGCCAAGATAATTAAGCTATAATATTAAATGTGTTTTAACAGTTCAAAAGCTACATTTAGTTCTCGACGAAATTTTTTCTGTATGCCACAATTCAAAAGGAATAAGATACACGATTTTTTATATAATACACAGTGCTATAATCTGCATTTCTGCGTCAGTGATTTTTAACTTCGCGACTAATTTCGCAAGAAAAATAATTATTTCTAAAAAAGTACGGTCTGGGGAAATTTCGCCACCCTACGCTAAGGGTAAATTCGCACCTATTTTAAATACATATTTTTATATTTGACGAGCTAGCTAACGAACAGACTACCAGCAGCAGCAACAAATATAGGACGTCAACAAAAATGGTACGCTCGATCAGTGTAACATACTTACAGGCGTAAAGTTCCCTACATTTTTCAGGTGACGAAATTTCCCCAGTTGTGTGGTGATTTTACCCCCCTATGTGGTGAGATTGCCCCAGTATATTGGTTTTACTTTTTAATTTTTTATAAATCACCAAGTTAATTAAAAAAATAGGGGAATGTCACATTTTAAAGCTTAGTGCTAACCGCATTCAACAATAAAAATAGAAATATGATAACGTGTCTCAAGATGGACAATAAATAGCTTTGAAAAAATGCTGACGAAATTCCCCCACTCTCCCCTATTTATTATTTTGAGCTCGGATCGTTTAAATTTCTTTTTATTGGGATTATACCTGCATACATGTATCAAGAGAATCACTGAATGGCAAGTTAACTAAATGTTCACAGTTTCTCATTTAAAAATTATTCTGCATTTTAAAGTTAAGTTCATACGAACTAAAAAATGAAATCAAGACTCAAAAATGTTAATGATGTGGTACTACAGATTAACATTGATAATTTATAACGTTTAAATAAAGCTCTTCATTAAGCATTGCAAGCAAGCATATAAAAAGGTTTATTATTAAGTAATTAATTCAAATTTTAATATTTTTTTATCCGTACCAAAATTTTTGCCTTATTAGCATTTTGCAGGATTTAAGAGTACATCTTGTATTTCCCAGATACCAATTACCCCACCAAATGCCATCGTACAACTCGCCGCTGAGAACTTTTTTTGCTGCATGGTATCGACCATTCAAAATACTGAAAAATTAAAATGATTAAAAGGATGAAACTTTCGGTAACTTGTAATTCATTTTATACCACTGATAGTTTTTGTTTGGTTTAGTTCTCCACCAGGAATAGAATGATTTGTTTGGATAGGTCCAATCTTCGAAAACTTGTTTCTCATGATCGCGCAATGCATCTCCAGAGTTTCCCGAATAGTTACCTAGGGACTTCAACTCGTATTTCGATTCTTTGTTTCCAACTACAAAGTTATCATATCTGGCATATGCGGTTACATCATCAAAGTCAACGAGTTCAACAATTAACTCATGCCTTTGACTTGTGGTTAACTGATGAATTGTCTCAATACCAAGCCAGAAATCCCCGTTAATATCGCCAAATCCAACTTCGTAACTATTTTTATTTGTTACGCAGAAATCTATTTTACCATCAAGTCGACGTTGAATGACCATCCAACCGGAACCCGCAAAAGGTAACTCTTCAAATACTGCCGTAAAAGGAGAAATACCTTCTGCTTCTATAAATTTAATATGGGGTTCTATTGAATGGTTTAGTAATATGGTTGTGTTGTTATTTTGCCTTTTAACTAGTTCATTTTTTATTTTTGAATTATCTTCCAATTCTGACAATTTATCATTTAACTTCTGAATTGTTGATTCAACTTCAACCATTTGATTATTCAGTTCATTCACTTGAACGTAATCTTCAAAATTCTCAAGTTCGTCCTGGTTTTGGCATTTTTCCTCCAAATCTGACAACTTATCTTTAAACTTCTGCATTGTTGATTCAAGCTTAACAACTTGATTCTTTATTTCATTAATTTCTTGTAATGCTTTTCGTTTTTCACTAATATTAAGATTTTTGGTCAAGTCAAGATTATTCTTCAAATCAATAATTTCATTCTGCAAGTTTTTGTTTTGGCTCATTAAATCAATCGACATTTTAAACGATTTTATAAAATCGTCCTTTTCATTAATGATAGTATCTTTCTGCTTCAAACTTTTTCCAGCTTCAGCCAATTGCATCTCCAAACTGCTGATTTTGTTATCTTTTCTGGCAAGTTCCATTTTAAGTTCTTGCATTAGAATTTCATGGTCGCCAGTTTCATTATCATTTCCTAGTTCTGAGTCACTAACGACCTAAAATATATAATTATATTTATATTATAGTTAAGAAAAACATTTGATATATATTCATTATTTTACCGAAAAGTTCTCGGATGCTGAATCCTCCATAGCTTCCTTTTGTTGGTTCAATGGATTGGTTGACGTTTCCATTTTAATTTTTGTAATATTCTGCAAAATTATATTGTATAATATAAATCAATGTTAAAAATTTAGTAATGACATAAAATCGATTTGTATGCAGTGGTGAAATCCTTCATTGGAATTTATGTGTGGATATAATGAACATGTAAGTATGTAAAAATGTCTTGTGACAGATCACATACATACATACTTATATAGCAAAAAATGTAGGTGATCAGTGATCACACAAAATAAATCAGCGACTATAAAAATGTCGCTTTATTTATCCTAATATACATTGATTTTAATGACATTTTTCCCTATTTGTAGTAGAATAATAAGTTCTTAAGAACTGGCTGGCAAAGCTTCTTGGAAAAACGAGATCAAGGAAATCGACATACAAACAAAAATCAATCTTACCGAGCGAATTAGAATACTGTAATTATTTGGGAGCGTTCCATGAGCTCGCTTGTTTATGATTATTTAAAGAATCGCGAACTCAGCTGAACAGCAACGATAAAACAAACAATTACAGAAGAATCACTGGAATACAAACGCTGGAAAAAAGCGGTAAAAGTATAGTGCTGCAAAACGATCTCTTCTAAAAGTTCCTAATTTATTCCCTTGTTGATAATATACTAAAATAACCAAGAAATACCACAATTTCAGTGCTATCACGTCAGGAAAAGAAATAAATTAATTTTAAACTGACGACGGTTCGGACTTAAAGAATATAAATATGTAAGCCTTTAAGGCAAATAACGGTTAGTAAATGCTTTTATCTGTGAAAACTATTCACAAATTTTATTGAATTCCATCAACTTCACCGTTAAGGTTTTCGAATCCTACTATACATTATTTATAATACATATACGTTTGGAATATGATTGTGGATATAAGATTAATTTTTCCAGCTCTAGTCCAGCGTTGACTGTGGACTGAAGGCATAGTGGGATGACTGGACGTCGAGGCTGCTGTTGGAGGAGCAGGAGCTCATGGAGGGAGCCCGCGTGGACCTGGCCGAGGAGGCGGACGACGATCCGCTGGAGGAGGAGGAACTGACCCAGGCGTGGCCACTGCGCCTCCGCCGCTGACGCACCAGACCCAAAACCGATCCTGCCACCGGAGTGGAGGCGGAACTGGCCGACATCTGCCGCCGAAGGCTGGCGTTCAGGGAGATCTGAACGGGTTCCGGAGCAGGTGCGGTGGCCGGACGTTGTGCCGTCGTCGCCTCCGAGCCAGATTCCAGATCGCTGGAGGTGGAGGTCGGCGAAGAAGCCTCCACGATATCCACCGAAGCAGTTGGAGCATTCAAGACCCGTCCATCCAGCAGTTGCAAAGTGGGAACACTTCGCGCCAGAAGAGATCTATAGAGGGGCAGTCGGCAGACGGGATTCCCCTGCAGCTCCACCTCCTGCAGCTGCGGACACATGCCGAGGAAGGAGAGCAGGCCCAGTTCGCTGATCCGGTTGTTCCTGGCCCTCAGAACGCGCAGGTGGACCAGTTCGGCCAGCGGATCCACCCGTTGGATCATGTTCCCATCGGCGATGAGCACCCGGATGGCCGGCAGTCCACTGGTGCCGTCGAAGCTGTTCAGGCCGCAGTTGCTGATGTCCAGCCGGGTCAGCTGGAGGAGGCCGTAGCCCAGGTCCCGCAGCGAACTCAGCACACTGCCACTCAGGTCGAGGCTTTGGAGGCGCGGCAGGAAGAGCGAGAGGCGGGACAGACTGATCGTGTAGGAGATCACGCGCAGGCGCACCGACTCCACCGCCTCCAGATCCGTGCGCTGTGTCACGCGCCGCTGAAAGGACATCAAAAGGATATTTATAAAAAAAGATTTATTTATGTAACTGTTGTTCATTAATATTGGGAACCTATTCTATGTTATTCCCACATTTCGGGAAAATATTTATAATGCATCAAGCCTGTAATTAATAACAGAAAGAATTAAATAAAGTATACAAATTTGTTACCTAATTCATAGTCTAATTTAGCTTGTAAATTTGTAAAACTAGAATTGTTTAGCTTAAGGCCCCGTAGCTATAGCTAAATTTAAGTTCGCCTGTAAATTTTACATTATAGTCGAACATTAAATAATAATAATTTATAATGCACTTTCGACTTTAAGAACTTTAATTTCTTGAAATCTTTATATGTGGAAGTAATATAAATTTCATTCGATTTTACGAAGAATAATGCTAAAATGAATTGTTTATCGCATTTTTTTGTCGAGTTTTAGAAGTTATAAGAGAACATAATAATGAATAAAATAATGTTATAATTTTTTTTTTATGATTAAAATGGAACTTGGAAGAAGTGGCAGTGCTTGCAAATAATATTTCGAAACAACATATTTTATTTGGCCTACCAGTAGCTCGTCCAAGGTCGGTTCAGGGGCTTGTTGAGGCAAAACCACGGGCAGCAAATGAACGAAGGCCGGAAGGTGTTGGGTCTCCTCGGTTATGGGCACATCCCGGTCAAACGAGTTGCGGCGGCCCAGTTGTCGTCTATTGAACTGTAGTGCCCGCTGCTGCTGCTGGGCGGGATTCTGCTGGTTGAGCCGGACTTCAGGCGGAGGCATCCGGACCTGGGCCAAGGCCGCCGGGCCAGGAGGAGCCAGTAGAATGGGCAGCTCCGCCTGAAGGGAGTGATCCGGAGATGTTTCCAGGTACTCGGCAGGAGCCTCCAGCAGCGGCATTATCCGGTTTGTTTAGTTTAGTTTAGATCCTTTTTTAATGCCCGGCTCTGTATTTTGACTGTCTTCATTGACATAACAACCTAAAGGTTTCCATGGGCAACGCTCAGTGGTGGAAAGGGTGTCATTATTTATTTGTTTTAGTCTTGATGGTATTATATTTAAATACTATTTCCCGAACCCTAGATAAAAAAATAAAATAATATTTATGTCAATGAAACACCGAAAGGTTGAGAGCTTTTTTCGAAGTTTTTTATTTGGCTTATTTTATCCTTTCAGTTATTAAAATCCTTTAAAATCTAATTTGGTTATGTCTGGTAGTTTCAAGCAAACAAGTGGAAATGTTTCGACTTTAAAGTGCAAGAATTTGGGTGAATAAACTTTCCCTGTGGCCCTGCAAACACTATATAAATCGAGTAAAAGGTCTTAGTTTGGTTTAAATGTATATGAATATGTGTATCGATCTGCCTTTTTGCAGCATTCCTCTGCTCGCCTTTATTACTCCTTAACCGCATTTTTTTTGGCAATAAGCCCACTGACGTCAGTGTGACGTCATGGTCGTGACGTTCGCTTTTCACAAACTCTCTCTCACGAACTTTCTTTCTCTCTTTCCTGTGTCTGTCCGCATTTGGGAGAGCTTGGCAAGAGTTCTCAATTCCCTTTATCCAGAGGCGGATCTTAAGGGGGGTGTTCGTGGGTTCGGGATGAGACCTATAAAAGAAAAATAAATTAAATCCATAGCTAAACAAAAATTAAAAAATAATTCTGCTTAATTTTACTGAACAATTTAATTAGTTAAATTTTCTTAAAACACTTTAATACATTTATTTTTATTTATATATTTATAATTATTCAATACTTGTTTTTATGGTATCCCCTAGATTTTCAGGATCCGCCCCAACACAATCTTTGGCCATTTCAAGGGCCATTAGCTAACAGCAACGCCAGAAGGCTCCCCAGTCTGTCTCCCTCTCTCGCTCTCTCCCTCTCTCTCTCTCTCCTCCTGAGCCTCTCTTTCCCCCTCTGGTTGGCTTTACTATAATCAAATTTTCCTGACGCCTGTCAAGCTTTTGCCGGCTTTTGTGAATTTTCCGTGGGGGCGTTTGGGGTGGTGTTGGCTCTTAGGGGAGGCACTGTTGTTGTTTTGGTTTTGGCTGGAGCTTTTTCCATTGACGTCATTAGAGGCGAAAGCTGCGCAGTGAGCTGACATCCTACCACGCATTTATCGATTACACAGGGGAGAGAGTGGGAGAAAGTAGGAAAGAGCGGTGGAGAAAGGACGTACGTGTGGGCGAATTCGGTTTTTGCAAATGCTAGCGAAAAATCGCACTTAAATTTTATTTTGAAATGTAAAAAAATTAAAATAAAATATAAATATTTTATAATACCAAAAATCTCTTTGAAGTACACACACTCTACAAAGATTATATTTAAATTCCACTCATTGATAAAAATGTGATATTTCTCTCAGTGCAGCGCAGCTGCTTCTCAAGTGTGGGTTCAGGTGTTGCCAATAAAATCCCATCTTCAGCTCGCACATTTTTATAGATGCCTAAAAATAGAATTTGTCAATAATACCAACAAACACAGGCACAACAACACACAAACACACACCCGAAATGTGTGGGTGCCCGAACACGCACTGTTGACGTCATTGTCCTTAAAGCTCTGGCGCTCTCCTTTCGTCCCGTTACTACGTTACAACCACAGCGAAACTGGCTCTCTCACAATCTCTCACCAAAAATACCGTTCGGCTAATTATTGCTCTCTTTTCGACGTAGGCGTCGCTGTCGCTGTTAACAGTGGGTTAACTTAACAGAGGCTTGAGACTACGATAAGAACATTCGACATTTGTCTACGTGAAACGTCAAAAAGTATCCAAAATACAATAGTTAACGGTCTAAAAGGTGTAAATAAAATAAATTTTAAGTTTTGAGTCAAAAAACTCAAAAGGTAAATTATTATTTTTGGATAAAGGGACAAATAAAATCAGTCATAATTTCCTAACACAAAGATAAAAAAAGTTAAATTCAAAAATTGTTTTTAATACATTTTTAATTAGCAGACAAATGCTAAGAATCTTTAGTTTAGTTACCCACCTTGTATTAATATATTAGCTATGATATATTTTAATATTTTTGCCATTTTACTAAAGTCGTTCTAACAAAAGCGGTTTCTGTGTCAGCCCTAATTGAGTCTATCGCAAACTCAAACCTGGGTAGAACATTTGAATACTTTCCTAGACATTTCCTCCCACTAAAAGTAACAGTTTCTGTAATTTTCCCCACTGTTAAAGGCGGCAGCGAAGTCGACGCCAAAGAGAATTGGTGGCTCCAAAGTCGAGAGAGCAAAATCTATTTAAGGGCCACGCCAAGTCCAAATCGTTGTTATTGCAGAACAGTTTTTCGAACGCGTCGCTTGGGTTGCGGTTCCGTTCGCCTCGAAAAATATTGAGAAATATCAGAGAAAGCCATGGATAAGGCCGAGTGAAACAATCACGCGATAACGTAACGTCAAAGGATTGATATTTCCGAGGGTACAGCATGTTTTCAGAGCGTTGATGATACTCGATTCGGATATATTCGATTCGGATAGTGAAGCCTTGAGGAAAGGATATGCCACCAGCTCGCAGCTGAGCTGCATTCGCTGTCCTGTGTCGTAGTGGTCGTGTGTCCTCTCGCGAGTGAGCAGTGCAGTGTGTGTGTTATTTGGGTCAAAAGCTGCAGCAGCACAAAGTTCCCGTTCCCGTTTCCGTTACCGTTCCCAGGGGGTGTCCACCTGTTATGCAGCTGGCCTAGGATCCAGGCTCCAGGATCGAGCATCCGGGTATCCACTGAGAGATCCCCAGATGGAGGCGAAGGTGCACCGCCAGCATCAGCGGCATCGCCGCACGGAGGCGCGTCAGCGGCGGCTGGAACGCGAGGCGGCGGCCACGGGCGGACCACCGCCCACCACGCCCGAGCGGGCGGAGGCCTTGGACTGTGCCACCGCCCTCAACGAGGGCGTGACAACGGCGGATCCCAGCGGCAGTGGCGGCACACCCAGCAGTGCGGGTCGCATCAGTGCCCAGAGTTCAGCGGACAGCATCGAGTTGGTCGGTTCACCCAGTCAGACGTCCCAGCAAACGGTGGTCCTGGTCAATGGGCACATTCCCCCTGGTCAGGAGGAGGAGGGCGGGCAGGAGGAGTCGCCCCTGGGCGCTGGCAATCCCCGGGAATCACCGCCGCTGCCCAAGCAGAGCGATGGCAGTCGCAACTCCTCCGGCGATGCGATGAGCCTGAGGGAAACCCTGCAGCAACTGCCGGCCACCCATCACCATCGATCGAGACGCACTTACTCGCCTGCTGCGGATCCGGATGCCTCCTTTCATCGCGGCATCCTGGGCTACATGGACCGGGAACTGAAGCAGAGCTCGCCCACGCCATCCGCCCCGGCGGGAACCGGAAACGGAAATGGCAATGGTAATGGCAATGCCACGGGAGCCTCCCGGAAACAGCAATCCCTGTCCGATCCTCAGGCCAGTCCCGCCCAGCGATCCCTGCGCTCGCGGAGCAGCTTCGACAAGAGTCCTCGAAGGAAGCGCAGCAAGTCGGAGTCCCGGAGGCGAAAGGAACGCAAGATGATAGCCGCCGGCGAGATGGAGGTGCGCCAGGCCAACGAGACCCTGATGCGGTACCTCAAGCAGTGCTCCGACATGCACGACGCCTCGCTCTCCGGCGAACTGGAGATCGACCAGAGTCTGGAGGAGCGACGCGTCCACCGGAAGACCAAGTCGCAGAGGGACAAGCGCGGCCAGCTAATCAGTGAGTAGTAATTGGATTAGTTTAGTTTATCTCAGTGATTCCTTCTTCCACCTGTTTTAATATTTATTTTTTTTTTGTTAAATTAAAACTAAATTTAATGCAAAAAAATGGCACTGGAAACTGATATCCTACAGCCTGTTTTTTTTTATAATTTCTTAATATATTAAGTTAATGTGTACTTTTTATTGGAGAAAATTCATTTTTTAAGTTCCAGCATTATACACCACTTTCTAGAGCCCCAATAAAGACCAATTATTCAGAAGCAAAGATACTCTATTTTCTTGTCTTTTTATATAGCTTAATTATAGTTTTCTTTAAAATACTTTAAAAAATTAAAAAGAACTCTTAGAAATTCCGAATTGATATCCAAATTTGGTGACATCTTTCTGTGTAGTCCCCGTGTTTCCCACTTCCAGGTCTCAGTTCCCATTGAGTAAAACCAGCTGGGGCAAAAGCTCCACCCTTCCACCCGGTCACCCACTTACTGTTCTCTCGATTCTGCGCAATCGCCTGTTTAAGGCACTCGAAAAAAGCCATGAGATATTTCTTGAACCACATTTGATTTTTAAGAGCCTCTTAAACAATAATATTGTATAAATAAACCGTAAAATAAGTGCTTAGTAATTTAATATTTCTAAATCTTAAATCATTTAATTTTTAGTGTTTATTAATCTATTTTTAATATAATCAATTTTTACATTTTATTGAAAGTTTTTAAAGTAAAAACCTTCCTTTTTTCCTTCTTACAAACCAAATTTAATCCATCTATAAATGTATACGTTTATTTTTAGAATTATTATCATTATCTACCAATTTCTTTGTGTGCAATCATATAATCCCATTCGAATCCTGCCTTCTCCCTCAGGCAAACTGTACTCGGCCGGGGGAATATCCTCGATTCTGAAGGAGCTGGCCGACGACATTGCTCCCGCCGAGGGCGAGGAGATCTACAACCCATTCACGCCGGTGGTCTCGCCCACGGACGATGCGCCCGCGCACATCGACAAGATGTTCCTGCAGACGTCATCCGGATATCGACCCGTGGAGCACAGCTACTACAAGCGCTCCTTCCTGGGCGCCGGTGTCCGTGGATCCGGCGGAATCGGAATGTCGACTTCCGGCGGAGGTGGCGGAGGTCGCCTCGATGGCATCTCGGCCGCGGAGTTGGGTGGCGCCGGTCGCCTCTTCCGCTCCAGCGGCAGCCACGCCCACGGCGGTGCCGGAATGGGCGGAAGTGCTGGCGGCTCGGCGAGTGGGCGTGGCAGCTACGGAGATACCCGCTGCCTAATCGATGCCGACTTCAATCGGTGAGTTTGTCTTTGATATGTTTTAAGTTTTAGAAAAATTTATGCAGAACCATTCCTTTAATTACCGAGGAACATTTGAAATTATTCATATATGTACAAGTCAATTATGTGAAATTAAATTATATTTATTAAGTTTTTTAAGGTTGTAGGTAATGCATAACTAATTTCCTAATTAAATTTCTTAATTCCTAATAGAGAAGTTTTTAGCTAACTCCTAATATTTCTTAATTTTTTGAATTACCGCACCCAGAAAAATTGAGAACGAAAAAAATCAACATCGACCGATCTTGATTTTAGTATTCGTATTCTCACTTTTTTCTTCTTGATATCAAGATGAAAGCAGTGTTGATTCTAGTATTCCCAGTCAAAGTCAATCTCAGTTTTTATGTTGTGGAAGAGGGACGTGAGGAAAAGACATCGAAAAAATGAGAGGAAAAGGGCCGAATTCCTCTCTTGTAGCTATCGGGCAGTCATGCTTCTTGATATCGGTAGCCTAGGGGACTAAAGCGTGCGGATTATATGTTTTGTAAGCGTATAGTCGGAAGTGTGTGTTCAGTCCCGCGTCGAGGCGGAAATTCTTTGCGTTTTTTTTTTTTTACTCATTAATATTAATATTAGGATTTTGTTAATCTAACACAAATAATGGCTTAATAAGAGTAAAAACCAAGAACCCAAGAGAACAAAATGTGATTGAACTTTGTACAGCGCCTCATGTGATGCTTCCATGGCGCAGCTGGTAGAGTGTTTGACTGCAAACTGTGAGGCAACGGGTTCGATTCCCACGACCGACCAAAGGTGTTTTTCCCAAGATAGTAAGTTATTTGAATTTTATATTTATCATTTGTTAATTATATAATAATTTCAGTTATTGTTTCAGTTAAAATTTGAAACTAAATGTGTTCTTATATACGAACATAGTATAGGGTAACGTCATCCATGTGTTTAAATAAAGGAAAGAAAAATAAGTTGTGAAACGGGGGGACCCGACAGCTCCACCGACGGGGACAGGAGGGGGGTGCAAGAGGCAAAATTCCCGATTCCTCAATTATTTTTTTTCTTCTTCTTATTCAATTTGTATCTTAAAATCGACATCGATTCGATGTTGAAACCGAGAAGACGTCATCTCGATATCGATAGCACACATACTCAAAAACCATTCTCAAAACCGAGATGACATCGATGTTGATTTTAGTATTTTCGATCTCGGCTAGGTTTTGTGATCGAAAATACTAAAATCAACATCGATGAGAACGGTTTTTTTTCTCGGTGCGTAAGAAGCCGAAAATATTTTTCCCCTCAGTTTCTATTAACTTGAACTATTTTAGTTAAAGTTAAATATAAACAAAATATCTATGAAGCTCACATAGAGTAGATTAATTTTTCCCATTATTTCTAAACGCATTCTAATCCCCATTTAAATCCCCTTCCAGCAATGGCATCACCAGCAACATTCAACTAGCCTGTGTAGTTCAACGAATCTGGCTGCTCATCTCGAACATTTGCCACGGCCTGCTAGCCGGTCTAGCCCTGGCCCACCTACTCTTCGTGCTGAGCAGCCACCCCATGGACTGGGCCAAGGTCATCAATGGCATGAGTCTCGCGGGCGAGACAATGTCATCCAGCGCCACCGCCCAACCCCCATCCGCAGCGACGCCCTCGGCGATGGACCTCAATCCTGGCGATCGGGGAACGGAGTCGAGTGGATCCCCATCCCCATCCTCACCAGCATCCGGTAGTGGAGGCAGTGACGCCCTGGCCCTGATAAGCGACTACGCGGGATTCGCGGAGATCTACCTGAACACCTTCTACTGCTTGGCCATAATCTGTCTGGTTTCTGTATTCGATCGGTGAGTTAGGGGGTGGTATTAAAAATAATACTTTTAAAAAATACACAATTTTGTTAAAGAAAGGGTACAATTTTGCAACTAATTTTGTTTAACAATTTATGGTCTAGTTTCTATTAGCTAATAGTCACGAAATAGTTCCAATTTAACCACTTAAAAGCTCTGTAAATATTTTTAGGTTTTATAACATTTTGTTCAAGAAAGAGTAAAATTTTGCAACTAATTTTGTTTAATATTTTATGGTCTGGTTTGTCTAAGCTAATAGTCACGAAATAATTCCAATTTAACCACTTAAAAGCGCTGTTGGAACTAAGCATTTCAGTAGAATTTAAGTAGCTCCCTCACTTTCAGTAGCTTCGTCGAATCTAATTGTGTCCTTAGAGTCTTTCCGATGTCCTTTGGCTTGATTAAAAGTCAATTTGGCCTACGCGCAACCTTCGTCAGCAGTCGGCTAAAAATAGGAAACCCTTCCCCCAGCGAAGACGAAGTTCGCCTCGAGAACTCATTGACCTCAGGTGGCTGATGAAGGATTCGTAGGGAGTTTCATTCAGCTGGAAGCCAGCCGGATGTGGGTTAGCCCTCGAGAGCCTCCCGATTTGGTTTCTGGTCTAGACTGTTGGGGGGTGAAATCATTCTGGAGGCGCTGGAAAGTGAGCTACAATGTGTGTGTGTGTTGCTTAATGAAATTGTGACCTCAATTTGGGAACTTATTCGGCTTCGCTGGCGCATAGAAATAATTTGTATGGCTCGCATTGCGTGGCCGCTTTCATCAGCCACAAAATATTTTAATGCCCTTAAACTTTGCTCTTTTTGCATGCCAAAGTCGCTGCCCACACACTAGCGAAGCGCTCTGCCTGCACTCTTGACCTTTAAAGGCTGCGCCAGTCGATGGCACAAGTGTGTGGGTGGTTTCAGGGTGGTTTAGGTGGCTAGTGGGTGGTGGCGAGCGTTGGTAAAGGAACACAACTGTCTGCCGTCGTTTGGCCATTCGAATTGTGCCATTTTCGGCTGGCAAAAGTGTGAAACTGTGTATGACATTTCGCTTCGTTATCCCAGCGCCAGTTGATTTATGTGCGGCTGTCGCTCTGCTAAATGTTAAGTATCTCCCGGCAGCGGAGTCTGTGTCCTGACCTTTGCCCCTTGCCGAATGGAGTGCGGCGGAGGATTTGCTTTCAATTAATATGCAGGCGATTAAATGTCAGGATCCTGACATTAAATGTCGACATTTAAGAATTCGTGGGAGTATTGCACCAAAGAAAGTTACTTCCCTGCAGCAAATTGGACATCTGAACTTTCGAATATTCGTCAAGTCTTGAAGGCAGTTCCAAATTTCAACAGTTTATTCTATGTTTTTTTTCTTTCTGACGTCACATTTTCGTTTATATTTCTTGTGCTTTTCCATTTCCCCACTTGCACCTTCTTATCAGTGATCAAAATGCCCCCTCCACTTGATATGGTAATGCAACCTCCAATTAGTTCTAAGGTCAGCTCAAGTTCATTAGACGTAACCTCGGTCAGTTACAAAGTAGTAGTAGTTGTGCCTTGGTTATTTTTAGGACTTTCCGGAAATAAATTAGCAAAGTGAAATTAGCAAAAACTCAGTAATGATGTTGGGTAAAGATTTCCTGAGATCTCAAGAGAGACTACTTCCGCTTTGGAAAGCAAAATCAAGACAACTATTATCTCCATTTCAAGAACGTTTATTCTCTAATATTTTCTCAAACTAAGAACTTTTGAATCAGTTTTTTCGTTCCTCAATTGTTAGGATATTAACTTATTAAAATAACTCAAATAAATACTGAGGCTCAACCTACTTGTTTCATTTTTTCCTTCAGCATGGACATCTGCCGCTGGAGCTTCTCGAATGCCAGCGAACTGATCTCGTTTCGTTGGCTCATCATCACCATGATCTATGTGGCGACAATAATCCTAACAATTTGCTCCGATTCCATCGACGAGAAGCTGTACCTGTTCAACAACAATGCCAACATTACGCTGACGCAACAGGAGATGGTAAGATAACCCTGCTGATCCTTAAAAGCCTGAATTAAATACCATCTATATATATATCCCACTTCGAACAGCTGAGGAACAGTGTGCAGAGTGTCTGGAGCAGCTTGTCGGTTACGAGGAGCATTGCCGCCATATCGGGATGGATTATGATCGGACTGACGCCGCAGGAGGACATGCTGTATGAGCACCTGGTGGATCTTACCAAATATCAGTTGACAAATAATTGAATTTAAGGCGAACGCGACATTTCGACTAGTTGTAAATAGTTTTGTAGTTGAACTCTTAGCAGCTGTTGTTCAGTTATTGGCTTTTTATATGTACGGCATAATCGAAACGCAATAGGACTCTTAAGCTTTAATGACGTCTCTTAAGGATTCACATTGATGCCCTTCACAGGCCGCTAGAACAAACCAAATACCCAGAGAAAACCAATTATATGACAACCAAAGAACCCAGTGGTTGACCTTCGAGTTAGTTGACTAAGCAAATATAGTAAACGCAGGATATAGATGCAATATAACGATGGAAAAGTATGAAATACCTATATTTACCAGATAGATGTATCCATGTACTTATGCATATATACAATATGTTACCTATATAGATATACACATAGCTATACGCATGCTGATATACATTATATACGCGAATATAGAAATATTTACAAAGTACTTGAAATAATTTTTCTTACACATATCGTCTAAAGAAACGGAACCCCTTGTTTATTCATCGTTGCGGCAATTTTACAGCAAAAGGCTTCCCCAATTAGATCCTCAGTCGATAAGCATTGACTGTATTAATAATAATTTAAGCAGGTGTAATTTGTATAAAGTTTTGCTATGCAGCAAACAGAAGTGTGTACATTAGGGCGGTCCACCTTTGTATGGAAAATTTTAAGGTCCTACTCTCACCCGCTTATACGGTGCGCATTGTGGTATTCAAGGTATATCAAAAGACAATTTTAAAAAAATCGTGTTTTAGAGTCTGCGAATTGGTTTCAAAGTTTATCACCCATACGCACTGTTGCCTTCGATCAAAAAGTTTTTCTGATCAAGGTGGCATAGATATCAACAATTCAGTTGATGTTTTGCTCTCCTTTTTTTTTACCAATTATTCCAACGAAATTCATAATTTGACAAGACAAGAAATGGGAGAGCGATTTTTTTCGACCAAATTCGAACTGTTATACACAGGGAACGAAAATAACTGTTATTGTAAATTTTCCATACAAAAAAATCACGCACTTAGAAGGGTCCTAAAATTTTTTTAAATACACCATAATTTTTATTAGCCATTGTAGTTTACAAATCCGTAATGATTTTTATTTTTTGATTTTTATAATAAAACTCAAAAAATAACTGTTATTTTTTGATTTTTATGAATAACAGTTAATCCCTTGACATTTTTAAAAAAATGAAATAATTAAAAAAAACATGATACCCGTGCTTTTTATAACTTACTAAAAATTTGTTAAAAAAGGCAACCGCGCATATTTTATACCTATATTTTTTTAAAATTTTGTTTACCCACAAAATCGCCATAAATCAAGTTTGAGTTTTATTTTTGATCACGACGAATAACTGTTATTTGTCAACTTTTATTATAAAACTCAAAAAATAACAGTTATTCTTTGAGTTTTACTTTACAAATCAGAAAATAACTGTTAAAGTGTGATTTTTAAAATAAAACTTATAACAGTTACGTTCCCTGGTTATACATGTCGTATGAGTAATTTTAAAGCAAACTTTAAAGACGTTTCGCAAGGTCTAAATTCGGAAAAAAAATTTTTTTGTTTTCACATACATTTTTTGCATACTTTAACATACCATGTTAAGGGGTGAGAAAAGAATTTCATTTTTTGGACCGCCCTAGTGTACATAGAACTATATTAAAATTATTTACACTGCACACTGGGCCAGCCGATCAGATTTTTGGCCAAAAATACGTTTTTCTTTTTTAAGAAAATGACCAAATTGAGTTTGGGATCCTTTTTATAATACATTAAACTAATTTATGCCAAAGTTTCAAAGAATTCGGGCAAGTAGTTTTCTTTTACCATATTTTCAAAGTGAAAAATTCATAAAATATTGATGGAAATGAAAAAAAATTTAGAAGTCAAAGATGCTGATGTTGCTGTTCGACTTCTTTCTGAAACTTGCAGAAGGGATTATTTTCAACAAGTAAAAACTATAATATAGCTCGTATGTCTTACTTGTTTGCTAAAATAAATGTTATTGTTAATTTTTACGCTTTTTTTCAGCAAATGAGTACTTTGCTTTTCGAGTGCCTTCGAGTGCCATCCCCAAATTAGTTCATTCCTTCAAAAAAAAAATTCGTTGATCAATTTACTAAAAGCGTAGCCCACCGACTCGATGCGGTTTTGCCTTAGTTTTCGGTAATTTAAGTTTTAATTGAAGGCTTAACTCGAAGTCGAGCTATTTTGAAGAGCTTAGCTAAGAGAGCCCAAGAGTATGCCATACTTTATTTCTTCAGGTTTTGGTGAACATTTTGCGCTCAAAAATTTGATTTTAGTGTGACTAACATCTAAAATCTACTTTTTACGTACACTAATCGATTATGGTATTTTCCAAACCTATATCTATCTATTTAATCAGGACTATGCAAATAAAAATGTAGCATACTTTTGTGATGACTTCAGAATATGTCAAATTAACATTAAACAAATCAAAAAACAATATTTTTAAACAATTTTTTTTACATAATTTGATTATATAAAACTTAAAAGGTAACAAGAACAAAAAAATAGAAATTTTTTTTAAATCGATTGTTTGATAAACGTTGATGTGGGAGCCTCCGAAAGTTGCACTTTTTAACGGTTCATAAATCTTAAATGACATAATATTTTTTAGTGATGTTAATTTTTTTTAGTTTGTTTTATCTCATACTTTATTGTTTTCGAAAATGGAAGAAGTGCGTCTTCTAGTTATTTTTTTAAAAATAAAAAACCGAAAAGTACGTAAAATTTTCCGACTTTGGTCTGGATTATCTATATCATATAAAATTCCAAGAAATTTTACTTTTAGTTCGTTGGAAAGTTCAATCTTTTAAGAAAAAAACGCAAAAAACTGCATCCTTTTAACTGTCCTAGGAAAGAAATTACAGATTTTTGGCCAAAAAATTAACTTTCTGGCCCAGTGTGCACTGCTGCCCTCTAATTTTCTGATTAATATGATATTTATTAAACTTTCTTGTTTTTAGAGGCATTAAAAACAATTAGAAATTTTACCTGAGCTGTATATAAACCGAGTGCAATAAAATAACGAATATTAAAGTTTAATTATACACTAACCAATATACAGAGGCAAACGTAATGAAAATATATGTAATGAAAAGTGAGCTAACGAATCGATCAATGCGGATGACAAGGAAATCTCATTGTAAACTTGTATATAAAAAAAATATAAACGCAAATAAACAAAAATAATGTATAAAGGCAAGAAAAACACACATTTTACTTATTTAAAAGGTTGGGATAATATTATTTTTATGTAATTAAAAGAAGATTTCATCCCTTAAAATGTATGTGTTATTGAAACACAAGAAAAAATCCATTTGTGGAACATTTTTCTGTTTTTTTTTTGTACTGAAGGAAGAAGAATTTACAAAAGTTAGATTTTTTGATCTTGATTCCAGTTTAAATTCAGTAAAGACTTTTTAACGGTTTTAAAAGAAATACTTTTGTGATCAGTTTTAGGTGGTGTGGTAGCACTTGTCTTTAGTATTTTTGGATTTTCAGTATCTTTCAAGTATTTAAATACATCAGGATGGCTTTAGTCACTTTTAATCGATGATTTTGCAGCACTATACTCTTCCCTCGCTTTATAGCATCATCTTAACTTTGATCTGGTTTTCTTACGAATTGCGCAGTTTCTTTTCATTAAGATTTAACCTCTTTGCGGCATCTTAAAAGTAGTGTCAATTTTCACCTGAATTGCCAATGAAGTCAAACCATTCCTGGACATCATCATGAAAACGCCAAACGTAAACAATCTTGCAGAGGAGCCCCAAGTTTCTGGCTCTTCGCTGGAATCAACTACTGACAACTCTGTAAGCCACAAATATATTTGTATTTATCAAATTTATTATAGCTTAAATTATTTAATTGCAGTTTAACAGCGACTCAGATGCAGAGGTTTTATGTGCAGCAACTGATCAACTTAAAAGTGTAAAAAAGTGCAAGACTAATGAGAAGAAAAAAATAAATGATTTAGAGGAGCGGCTAGTCTTTGAGAAAGAGAAGATTCGGCATTATGAAGCTCTTATCAGAGACAAGGACGATATAATTAAATCTCTCAAGTGGATCGCCGAATCTGAGGACATAATTATTAAACAGATGCAAAGTCAAATTAATGATTTGCAGAACGCACTTGACTTAAAAAATCCGTTAAACATAACCGACCAGAAAGACGTGTTTAATAGTTCTGAGAAACCTATTACAGAAAATATCAACCAAATTCAAGAACCCAACATACAAGATCAAATTAATTTACTTAAATTGACCAATGCAAAATATGTGACACTCATTGACGAGTTGGAACTAAAACTTAAGGAAAAGGAGGATATAGTAATACTCTTTGAATCAAAAGTAGCGGAATTGGAAAACCAATTCAAAAAAGATGAAGTTATTTTGAGAGCAGAAATTGCCAAACTAGAAGATAAAGCTAAAGATACATCTGCGGAGATCTTAGAAAAAGATGAGCAACTACGTAAATACACTTCAAATGCTAATAATGGTAGTGAGATACAACCTACTTTACTGCTAAATTTTACCAAAAATAAGAATATAAAACTGGTTGAAATGCAGGGGATTGATCCCTTTATGGCAGTTTTCGAAGATATTCAAACTGCTGGTTCAGATTGGATGGTCATTCAGCGGCGGATCGATGGTACTGTGAGTTTTTCTCACAACTCTGAATTACCATGTAGCGTTGGCTTCGGTAACATAAATAGTGAATACTGGATTGGTTTTGACTTGCTACATCAAATAACAAACACTCAAAAATATGAGCTGTATGTAGAACTTGTAGATTTCGATGATGTAACAGCTTATGCCAGATACGATAATTTTACTGTTGGAAGCAAAGATGAGAAGTATATGTTAAAGTCTCTTGGATCCTACTCGGGAAACGCTGGGGATGCTTTTCGCAGTCTTGAAAAACAAACAGTGGATAAATGGACCAAAACTGACAAATCAATATTCTTCTGGTGGTATACACCCAACATGCAATGGTAAGTGACCAGATAAGTAAAATTGTTCATTATATCGCTAAATGTTTTTCTTTTAAACGTTCAGCAATTTAAATGGTCCCTACTACAATTCTAAGCTGAAATTAAATAACATTTACGGCCTTTGGTGGGGAAGATGGAATATAGGAAAATCAATATATTCTCTGAAGTCCTGCAAAATGTTGATAAGGCGAAAGTTACAATTTAAGTAAATTTTAATATACTTTAATAAACATTTTTCATATTTAACTTTTGATACGTTCCATGACAAAGAAGTCCAGTAGATTCACATGAAAAAATTGTTTTTTTATTCAGTTTATTTTTTTATTTTATGATGTTAATTTAACTTTTTTGAATGTGTATCAGGATATATACGAATGAATGTATGCATGTATTCCAGATTTCGGTTTGGATCAGAACAATTGTCATTGCTTAATAAACATTATATCTTCCAATAACTGACTTTCAAAATTGTAACGGTTTCGATAGAAATGTTTATGTGATCAGTTTTATTTGGTGTGGAGCACTTGTCTTTAGTATATTTTTTGCGTACTTAAGTATGTCCAAATCCATAAAAATGGCTCTAGGCACTTTTAAACGAAGATTTTGCA